TAAATTTTGTTGTTTTTGTTGAAATTAACTGCATTCAACAGAAACAGTTTGAGTCACGCATCAAATATCAACTTGCTATATCCAAATTGTTCCAAACAATAATGGGTATAAAATTGTGAGTGAGCGCCTTTATGAACAACTTCAAGTTTTCACACATGTACACAAATACTACTGAAGTTACATTTACTTTTTGTCATATTTGTTAACAAAAGTGATAATAATTGCCAAAATATGTTTTCTGAAAGTTAAATTTTGAAAATTCAGTCTCATTTATTTGTTCACTGGTTGTTGTTTTTTTTAAATCAAACCAAGGTTAAGAAAACAACAACAATCAACATTGTTAATTTCTAAATTTTTCAGCTGGATTTACAGTTTTCCTACTTTCCATTTCATTTCTTGCAAAGTGATCATAATCGACTATTTGAATTCACATTACATCGGGTACTTTCTTTGGATGTTAAGGAATTCAAAATTTCGTGCACTGGGGCCTTGCCTCTACATCAACATGTGAATACGAAAGTGGTGGTGTACGTGCGATATCTCTCAACAGCATCTAGGAATGATTGATGCACGTGTATATGCCAAGCAAAAGCAAGCGTGCAGAATAAACGCAAGGTCCGTGCTTAAATAAGAATCAAATAAGCAACTATCTCTGTGAAATAATGCAGCATAAATGGAACCCTCACTATTTCATGGTTAACAGGCCCGACACTGTCACTAGACATTACATCAATACAAAAAGATTACAAATAGTTTCAGTGGCATTAAGTATTATTAAGTACAAGATGCTTACTCATGTGAACCTTAAAACAGTAATATTTTATTTTTTTACTCCCCATACAGAGTTATTACATGCTGCGCCATTACTACATAATTTCACAGCAGGATAAACTATCCAGTTTGGCGCAGCCTCATTCCAGCAGGTCATTGAGAACCGTTAATTAAGTTGCGCAGTTGAGGCTTTAGCTGTGGGGAGACTTGAACCCACTGAACTGTGCACCTAATCATCTGCCGCCTGACCACTCATCAGAGATTCTTACAAAGACACACTGCCACAGCACTCCAGGCTGCTTTGCGGATACTCGCCGGCCTGAGCACTCCGACGACATCCAACACAGCTGACAGGGCACATTACGGCAATATCGGAGGCATTCATGTTTGCATTGATTGGCCACTCCGATGACCCAATTTTAAGAACCCTGCCCCATTTACAAGGCAGGTGGGTCCTTAATTTGCCAGCAAGAGAGCAAATGAATTGTTGCCATAGGAGGTGGTTACATTTAAAATGAGATGAATGTTGGAATTTAGAAGTCAGGAAATTTACCTAATGATAACAATACCGGAGTCTTATATAGCGCACGTATCTACCAACAATTAGGTACTCAAGGTGCTGGAAATTATGTCTATTATTACAGACAGGTAAATGAAGTTTATGAGAACTGTGAGACCCATTATGTAGCGCCTTATAAGGGTATACAAGGTGCTGCGGCGCATATTGCAGCCACTGCCAGAAACATCGAGGCAAACCCCTTCTCTTAGCGATAAGTGTTACTGGGTTCGTTAACGTGCATTACACAACACACGGGACCTACGGCTTTACATCCCATCCAAAGGACGAAGCAATAATGGTAAAGCGCCTTGCTTCAAGAGCACAGGCACTTTGTTCCCACAGTCAGGATTCGAACCCATGTACCACGGCACACGAGTCGAACACCGTAACCATTGGGCCACACCACCCCACTATACCTAAGGATCAGGAAATTGATTTCCATCTTTCAACAACACATTTAAATTGGCAAATACTGCACTTAGTGATTGGGAAACATTCTACATACGCTTGCTCACAGTGACTATTTAAACACTATGTTACGAGTATTACTGACAGACTGATCCGTTTAGCGCAATCCATGATGTTTTGAACCACCACAACCATTTCTGCACAACCAAAATGTCAAACGGAAGTCCAACATGCATGCATGATGTACGACACATGCGGCTAGAACATACAGTGTAGCATTGGGGAGATGTTGCTGCCCATGTGCAAAGTGTGCAAGGCTCATGGCTGAATCCGGAAACGTCCATTACCAGTATGGTTAACAATCAACTGCTTTAATCGTGTTGTTAACCGGGACTACCCTGCTAAATCCAACAGAGTCTGATGGTTACTCATATGAGTTTCCTGCTCAATCCAACACAGTCCCACACTGACACAACCCAACTTGCCAAGTTGTTGGGGACCTGAACATGTAAACTGACTGGCCTGCTCAATCCAACAGTGCCTTATTTTTCTGTTTGCTGCTGGATCCAACACGGTCCCACACAACCCAACTTGCCAAGTTGTTGGGGACCTGCAAATAAAAAACTGACTGGCATGCTTAATCCAACAGAATCCAACTGTGCCTTATTTTTCTGTTGTCTGCTGGATCCAACAGAGTCCAACTTGGCGTTATTTACCAGTACCCAACATAATCCGACTCTGAATGTTGTCAGTTGCCTGCTGAATCCAACAGATTTCAAGAGGAATATTTACAAGGGGTTTACTGCTCAATCCAACAGGACCCAACGGATTATGTAAAATAGTTGGATCTTGTTGGATTCCTCAGGGTTAGGGTTAAAACCCAAGGTTTATTCACATTTGGCTACAAATACAAGACAACATTCTTTTCGGAAAGAAGATCTGCCAGCATGGTTCACATTTGAAACTTGAAATGGAACCATTCAAGCAGTTTGAAACGTGTCCCTAAGGATGGGCAGAATATACTATCCGAAACTTTGGGTTTTAACCTGTTCTTTTGAGAACCTCACAAACTCACAAAAGAGATTGAATGGTGCAGCCTCAGACTCACTATTATCACGAATATTGCTGAATTCATCATGCAAGCCTTTGAATCCTATGTACCTATTTGCAGGCTATACACTAGGATATTTCATTCTTTCATTGCAACACAACGCGTGCATTTACTCTAACTATCCCGAGGCGAGCAGGACATTTATGAACTGTGAATTTCAGGTCGTCTAAATATCACCACCCATCAATCCAAACCTTCACTATTTTACTTTTACAGTGGCACTGGTCGAATGAAATAAAGTGTCGGATGATCTAAACGAAGGGGCTTTTTGTCAAATGCTTTAGGGCCTACGACCAAATACAATGTTCATGACTTCTCGTGAATTTAGGTACAATTACTCATGGAACAATACTGCACATGTACATAAATACATGTCATGCATGTGAAAGTTTTGGTTCCATCTGAAAATTCTGCAGACCCCAAAATAATGATTCATTCTGCAAGTCTTTAAAATGTCCAATATAAAGGATGCTACTTTGTGTTTTATTTTGTAAACGTTTAGCAACTTTTTTAAGAACTGTTTAAAATGATTAGCCCTGTCACAAAGGCTGATGCCTGACCGAGATGTCTGCAGTCGTAGACCGGTGTGATTGACATGATAAATCAAGAATGATTGCCATAACAAATAGCGGGCAGTCATTGAAAATGCAAAACTTAACAGTGTATACCCGCTTTGTAAATTAAATTGGTTTGAAAACACTGATAAATATTTGTGCTATGTATGTTTAACTCAAAGGAAGATCACGTGAACGTCTGTCCCTTTTTTATAATTCAGGTTTCGTTTAAACGTTTTAAACGGATGTAGAATTTTCTTCGTTTAAACATTTAAATGCCACATCCTTAGTCCACTATCAAAAAGGGTCGCTTCAAACATGCCTATAGGAGAGCTCTCATCTCTCAATATGTAACATAGCTTGCATCTCATTTGGTTTTTCAGCAATTGTTTGTTTTTTGTTCCCTCTTAATACATTTACGTTCTGTTCTAGTTTAAAAATGTCATGCTTAGGTTATGTCTCGTTGCAGGCCAACTGTCCGTGTGTATACTTGTTTTTGTTTCTGTTTTGTGTTTGTCCGTCCAAGGCATCTCGCCACAAGCATAGGCTTCCAGAAGATGCCTCCATACCTTTATATATTTTCACCTTTTGACAAACTCTATTTATTGATTTATGTACTTAATCGTGTATTCTACGCTTGTATTTCTCATTTTGGTATGGAAATGAATGTGAGTTTTGAATTAAATTTGAATTGAATTGAATATAACAAAATAAACTCGCACATAAAGTTTGCAAAACCCAGTTGTGTATGTATACTATATAAAACGTATCACAGTCTGTATTCCATCAAAGATATAAAAGTACTTGCTAAGGGCTGCTCTGCCACCACTTGCGAAGGCTCCAGTCAGACAGACACATCGCGTGCATGGTGGATTCCCATGAGTTTGACGTGAAGTACGCACGACTAATTTTATTCCGTATGTGCACAAACATTACTGCATCTATGAGTGAGTATCATGCTGTTGGCAATGCATTCATGAGTCCCTCCCAGTGGTTTCCCCCAACTCTTTGTTTTCTAACGGTCGAGGGGATACCTCTGCATGGAGTCCATGACATGTACAGTACAAGACTGATACATACCAAGTAGAGATTGTAAAGAACGCAAGGAGGAAAAACTTCTTCACATTTACCCTAACCCCTTGGGTGTATTTACTAGAAAGTATCCTGAATCTGCTAAAATCCATCAATTTTGCCATGCAAAAAAAAAATTTGGTGGCCAGTGAGTCCATCAGAATCTACCAGTTAGCCGGGAGTAAATCTGTTGAGATCCTGAATCCATCAAAGTCCCCCAACTGCTCAATATGGAGGATTGCTGAATCCATCAAAATCCTGCTGTACCGCTAGGCTTCATGTCCTGAATCCATCAAAATCCCCCAACTTTTTCAATATGGAGGTATCCTGAATCGCCGAAATCCCCCCCGAAACAGGGGTGTGGATTTTGATGGATTCAGGTACGTTAGGGTTAAGCTACAGGTTTTGTTATGATGCACACGTACATTTCAATAATGAGAGGAGTTACATTCATTCTGAACAACTCTTTTCATACTGTACGTTCATGAAGGCAGCCATACACAACTGAGCGTTAAAAAAAGGATATGTGCCGTGATCTGTGTCCACTACTACTTCGTTGATGTGAACGGTATACTCGATTATCACCAACCGGCGACCTGCCTGTTGCAGCTTTTATATCTTCTAAACTATGTAATGCATTCTGAAAACAAAACAAAGGGAATATGTTACAAAATTGCCTACTCACAATCACAATGGTTCACGTCATTTAGGTTTTATTGCCAGCAGTAGTCAAATTGTCTGTACTCAACCAACCAACTATTATAATCAATTTGATTAATTTTAGGGCTGTCCATTGTCAAATAATTTAGTATTCGATTATTCGGATCTGCGTTTGACCGAATATTCAAAACTCTTAGATCAGATTTTACAGGCGCCAGCCACAAGTACATCATGCCACGCTGTTCAAAAGTTGCACGCAGCACACTAGTTAAAAATGGCAGGCAGAGATCTATATTATGGGCTGCTAGAGTGTTTTGCAAATTTGCAGTATTTTACAACTGTCAAGGGCTTTGGGAACAATGAAATGCCGTCGACATAAAAAGAGTGGCATCTGACAATGAGCCGCAACTTTACGATAACATCACAGGTGTGTGTACGTACATTGTACATATTTTTTCCTCTTCAGATATTCAAAACGGCAAAAAGCTATTTGAATATTCAGTAGATGAGCGAATATTTGCATATGAAGTTTATTCGGGACAGCCCTCATTAATTTTTTTCAATGGTCTTCTTGACAGTAACAATCTCAAAGCTCATGGAGTGTAAAAGTTTTATGTGAGAATCTTTTTGGTAGCGTGGACTTAAACTGAATTTGAATTACACTCGGCTACTGCTATATTGCATTAATTATTAACAAATATGCATCTACCGGTACATGTATGACTATGAGAAGTGGATTCTGCAGCCACACGTTTGGTTTAACTGCCAGCCACGATGTATAATTCAAATATATGGCCTTACATGTACATCGTGAATGTATGGTGGCCCTGAAGAGACATCACAGGTGCAAACTTCAATTGAGACATTGAAAATCACCTTTTTGTCAAACTTTTTTTCTCAATATCCTTTCCAAACAGTGTTAACTTCTTTCACGATGCCCAAAACTTTTGCTACAAATTTTATATTTTATAAATATATTTTATGGTGAGGCATTTTTTTCGGTAACTTTTCTTAATGTCATGAACAACAATTTGCAACCCATTAAAAAATGCAGTGGCATGATAAAATTTACTCTCCCCCAAAAATGGCTGGGGTATCTATTCAGGGCCACCATACTAATCCTACAGTGTCTTATTTCAGTTAAAGGGAAGATACAACATTTGCAAACATCACAAAATGAAATGATCAAATTATCACGAAATACCTTGCTGGATTGTTAGGGAATGACAGTCTAAAGCATCCTGTAAAATCGTGGCTCCTGGTGTGCTGACATTTTCAAAAAAACTGATATTTTTCCAACGATGGTCGGCCGACCAGCGTTGGAGAAAACTGGCTTTTTTTTCAAAAACTGCTCTTAATTCTTCCTAATCTAATTAGTTATTCCGCATATTCTTTGCAATCAATTACACACCTGTAATGGGATACAAGCCCTCTAGACTGATTCTCTGACCTTACAATTCTTCAAAGTCTATAAATTGCTCCGATTCATCTTTAGTGGGGTCTGGGAACCAGACTACAAGAACATAATTGGTTTTCTTGGTTTTTCCTGCATCCAAAACTAAAAGCCCAAAACGTGAAGCACGTTATTTTATCTTAGCAATATTTGTTATAACATACTGATCCTCCAAATTCATTTATTTCTGAAAATTGCAGCAAAAGCAAATATGTTGTACATTCCCTTTAAAATGCTTTTTAAAGCTTAACTGCAATTGATTGTTGCCATTGGCACAGAATGTCATGCCATGGCACCACTCTAGCTGGAAACCTGTATTGACATCAAAGTAAAACGCATTCTCAAGTTCACACACACAAACACGGCATGTATTTGAATGTATTTTTGTCATTTCTCCATGATTAAACATAAGGGTAGCATGGTCAAAGATTATTAGGAGAAAAAATAATCAAATTATGAGCTTTGGTTCTATGATTTATTTTGTAAAACAATGTAAACAAACAGGTAAAACGGAAAGAAAAAGTAATCAATCAACGCAAACTGACACTTGAATAATGAACAAATAATTTATTTTAAAATTAAAATCCAGAACCATACACTTTGTCAAACCTCCCTTCACTTCAGTATCCACAGTGGGAGACGCCATGATGAAAACAAATTAGGCCTAGTGCAGTGATGACATACATGTACATGCACATAATGAATTGATGTACATGTACATGTACCTACATCATGCATGATACACATCGAACGCCTGAAACTAGACAAATTTTTCAATGGTCTTACCTGTAAATCTATAGTATTATTTCCTAATTGGTTAACGTTGGGCAATGACCCTCCTCTGTAGGCCCCTAACGTTGGAGCAAGCTGTAAATGGTGCGATTTATGTCCTACATGGCTCTGAGTTGGCTGCAGAGAATGAGAAAAAAAATAATCCCAAATTCTATTAAAATTGTCATGCGGGTACTGCACGGTACGAGTACTCCGAGTACACTTACTACACGCACAAACACATGCACAAGCAATGGAGGAAAACCGCGACGACTCGCTGGGACTCGTAAATACCCTCCGCCAATTTTCCCCATAAACGACACTTTTCTGGACAGCAACACACTTACCCTTGATACATTTGAGACCTCTTTCATAATCTGATCAAAAGCAGCCGTTTCTTCGGCCTGCTTTTGGTTGTGAAGGGCTATTTTCTCCGCAAATTTCCGTGGACTCGTCATTTTGGATGTACAGCCTGGATGGCCACTAAATTTTGGAAAGCAACGAGTATGTTGTCATTTAGTCATCGCAGGGGGTCGTTATACACCAATCGGCGACCGCCATTCTGCCCATGTGATTCCCGTGGAAAAGGCAGTGGAAATTGCGCGTAATAATACTGACAATGTATTCATAAAATTATTGGTGTTCTTTCTATTTTTATGCAACAAAATTGTTAATGGTAATATTAATATCTCACCAATGCTATTATTAGTAATAATCAACAAACAACACAATAGTATATGACATTTGGAAACTGCTCCCTTTCACTCTTACATGCACCGGCTCAGTGAAGATGACATACATGTATGATGAAAGATATATAGTGTGTACTATAAACGGCGCCACACGTTCACACAATTTGATTTTAATCCATTTTATGATATCCGAGACTAAAACCAAGAAAATGGGTGTTGGCTTGAACGATTCCTGCCGCTAACAACATTTTTTTTGAAAACGTGAAATCGTACATCTTCTGCTCAAAACCCGGATTACCACACTAATTATAAGAGTATGACAAGTTCAGTTTTTATTATTCATTAATTAATTATATTTAGCCTGAACATCGGACTCGTGCGCGGATGTCATCCTTAGTTCTAGTTTATTACCACAGAATTATATCTAAAATTAGCCTACTATACTAGAACTGGGTAGTACTGAAAGATGGAAAGAGAGAACTCAGAATCCGTTAGACCATGAAGGAAGGAATACAAACTGTCCTCCATGGTTAGACGGAGGCAGCAGGCATCCGGGATCAATGGAGTGCCTGGACCGTCTGTCAAAAATGTTGCCCAATTGGGCTCTTTTTGCAAAGTTTGCTTCACGTACTTTACGTGAACATAAAGCGCGTGCCTGGGTTCTAAATTGAGGGTGTGATGCAGGTGATTATAGTGGCAAATTCTTGAAAATTTGAAAACATCCAACCCGACAAATCATTAGCCAACCCGACAAACATAATTAATTACTATTTTTCTTTCCATACAATAGTTATTCACTTTTGAATGAGGCTATCTCTATAGCGAAAAAAAGCCCGTTTTTAAATGGATTAATAACGGCCAACTTTCGATTACGTTGCGACCCGACAATAATTCAGGAAGGTACAGGTCTGTTTTTGTGCGTTGAGTGGGGATACAAAAGCAACTAAAATCAAATACCATTTTAAAGCGGTTGTAGACGCCAGATAAAAGGAGGTTTTTGGTTAAAATTTAAAAAAATGTTACTGAGGAGATAAAATAAATCGAACTTTGAAAAGCACGGAATGAAGCTGTTTTAAACAATCGGTAAATATTTTGATTTGTTTATCTATTCTTTAATTTATTTGTTAGTTTATTATTATTATTATTTTGATTTTTTGATTTTATTTATTTATGTATTTATTTATTTATTTTTGGGTTGTTATTGTTGTTGACTTGTTGTTGTTGTTTTATTGTTTGGGGGTTTGTCTTCTCCCGCTCCTTTTTTTTTTTGGGGGGGGGGTTAAATTCAAAGCTACACGAACTTGTTTTTTAACCCGCTAATCTGCAGAGTTTTTCGCGCCATTCCATTCAAGGGTTATTTTTTTTCGCGCGAAGTTCCCCATGTAGTCAGGTGCCAGGTACCGATGTAGAAGCTATAATGTTGTCCAAGAGGTTATCAGGATACTATACCGTCCTATCGTAAACAAATTAACCTGCTGTAACATTTCTCAACCATTCAATTCATACGACTACCGCTGTAGTCATTATCAGCAGCGAGTAGTAATTGCGTGTAAACGTTCCGCATGAATGGACACCTTTACGTACAGTTATAAACACTTCCGTGCTGAGTGGGAGGATCGAGAAGGTCAGGAAGGAGTTCCAAATCTTGAGGTATCTATTAGCATTTTGATGGTCAGCTGCGGGCAGACTAGGTAGGTCTGATGTGGCTACCTCCACGATTACGAGACATCGTCGTGCACAATCTAAATTCTTTTTGTTTCTTCTCAATGTGCTTAGATTTGCTGTGCTTGGGCAGCAGACTATACAAAACGTTAATCAGGGCAGTTCCTTGCTCAGGGTAAGCCCTAAATAAAGTTTTAGCCACGCGTTAGAATAATTTATGTGCACCACTGAAGGAAATTGTGTTTGTATTTGATGATACTTACTTAGCTTATTTGATTGTTCATTAATCCTCAGCTAAGGAAAAGCATGAAGCCATATTATTAAAACAAGTTTTGCAGTTGACAATTGTTGTGTATAGCCGAGTACCAAAAAAAAAGGAGTTTCTTGTCCGGCCTTTTTTGAAAAAATGAAGGAGGCAGGAGTTTTTTTTTCTCCTTTTTCCCAAACAGATGGTGGATTTTCCTAGATGGCAGAAGCGGAGACGGATTCTTAAATTTTCTCAACTATTTTGCTGAAACAAAATTGTGTCCAAAGGAGCCATAACATTTTCCACATACTTAACTACAATTTTGTTGGAAACAAATAAAAAGACAATAATTTATGTTGACAATACAAAATGTATTGGAAATGTATGAAATTAATTTAATGAAACAAAATAAGAGGCGGCCGGGAAAAAAAGCAGGTGGGGATGAGAAACCAGTAATTTTTGTTTTGCCTTAATTTTACCGATATTATGAATTTTGTGTGTCATGTGACGGGATCATGGCTAAAGAAATTAAACTCCATCCCAATTTTTGAGGGCCCTACCATCCGATCAATACTGGATCAGAAGTTACATTGTTGTCTTTCCTCAGATTTTCATCGGTGCAGAATGGAACCTAGCAACTGGAGCCAACTTCCACATACGGCGGTCGTCAACATGTTTTCCCATCTATCCCACAGAGACAGAGCCCGGGCATCATCAACTTGCAAAAGTTGGCGTGACTGTTACTTCCACCCATCCTTCTGGCGTCGGGTCGATTTGGAGCTGACCTTTCAAACTGGTTGCGAACCGGCCCGCTGTATCTTAGATAAATGCGGGAAGTTTGTGCGGGAGTTGTGCCTCACCTGTACAGTTGCCCTGCCAGTATTGTGTGCACAGTTTGCCAACCGGGATGCATCAGGCAGTGCGCCTCCGCCTACGGGCTCTGAGGAATCATCGCAGGAGAATCAGCCAGACGATTTGCTGAGATATCGGAAGCTGTACCAAGACCTACCCACGGTCTTTCAAGGACTTCATAATAGCGAAGGATTAGAGAAACTCATCTTTTGTTTCTTTCCGCTGTGCAAAAACTGCAATTGCGGCGCACAGCTACCAGGGGAAGAGTTTGGAACCAAGTAAGTGTCCAGTTCAGTAATCACTTGAAAATTTGCTAGCAGTTGTAAATTTTTGAGAAGTTTATTTTCTACAGTGAGTGGACCATATCAGCATCATTTTTCTCAGGAAATGTTTGGTAAAAGAAAAAGAAAATAGATTTTTAGGGAGTTGGATAGAGCCATACTGATTTGGTATGTGCGAGATCCTTGATGTCAGTTTACGTGTTAGCTGAAGGATAATCATGTCAAAAATAGTACACATGTATTCCCAATTTCTCAGATTATCTTTTAGACTCTTAGCTGTACCCTAGAATTTTCTTTTCTGTACCCTACCAGGATGACAGAAAGCTTGAAGAAAGTTATACAAGCATCCACCAAGCTCAAGACCTTGGCACTGGCACACAACAGCGGCTCCTTACGCTCCACTTTCTTAAAAGAACTCTCCGACAAGTTTGGCAAGCAGCTCCGAGTTCTCCACATCCCGACTTTCCAAGTTGCAGAGGAAGTGACCGACGAGGCCATCACCTTGACGTCTTCCCTCTCCAACTTCACATCCCTGTCCATTCTAACCCTGAACCTGTCGATGGTAACGGACCAACTCCTCAAAGGTCTGCCAGATTCTAAATGTGCATCCACCCTACGGCAGCTCAACATGGTCATAGGATTCGGGGCAGATGTCAATTCGTACTTGGATGATTCTAGCTGGAGCAAACTGGGCCGACGCTTGCCGGACTTACAAGTCACTGTCTCGGCAATTATCTCGGACTATGGGGCGACAGACGAACTTCTGCACTACCTGACACCAAGCATACCGCTAACATCCCTGAGAATTTTCGTCAGCCAGCCGTGGTCCCTAAAGGAGGACCTCATCGATAGCATCGCCAAGAATTACAGTAAGAGTCTGAGCTGCTTGGAGATTCATACTGACAAGTCCGCACTGTTCTTTGGCAACAATTCGGAGGCTGACCCGCTAGTCATGCTGTGTTGGCAGTGCAAGAAGTTGAACCGTCTTGTTATCACAGGTATAAAGGAGTTGGAGATAATATTCATTGGAATCTGCTGCAATTTACTTTTCTCACATTGTTCCACATTGTTTCTCACATTCCATTCCATGGCGATGTTAGTAACGAATTGTTAATTTGAGGTAGCATTGTGATCAACTTGGTCTTGGTTTTTCTTTTAGGAAACTAAACTTGTGGCTTTAAGTTAACAAAGACTTTCTTTTGTAAAATCTTAACAATTTTTCTCATGTAATTGACTGGGACGCGGAGTGCTCTGAAACGTGCAAAACTAAATCGGGCCAACTTTACTCACTCTTTAGCCAGCAAATTTCTCCAAAAATTCTAGGGCAAAGAAAAGGTCCTCAGTATTGCAGACTCAATTCAATTTTTGAAGGAGACATTTCTTCAATATTTTGCACATGAGAGGGAAGTCAAGTGATTTCAAAAACGAGGCTAAAGACTAGACTGGTACATGTCCAACCATGGTCCAACTATTTGAAAAGACTGACCTCTTCATGCTGTTTCATTAGTCTGGTGGCTGACTATGGAGAAATGTGTAGAAATGGAGATTAGTTCCCGGTTCATGCCACATATTTCTTTTGGCATGGTTGATTGATGCAGTACTGAAGCTGCGATGGACTGGTTGTTTTAGGTGCCAGTCTATTTTCTTGCTTTGCATGTTTTCAATACCTTAAGTTTTGGGACTCTCATCATACACAGTATTGAGAGTCCCAAATTTTCGGACTAGTAATTGACCAACTCACCGATTGACTCGCTCACTGATTGAAGTTCACTGACTGATGTACTGACTACTTACTTTCATGTATGAGCTGTGCATTGCTAAGGCCCCCCAAAAAATAATTCTGCTTCCGATTACATGGCATTTGAAAATAGGGCAGGTAGGTAGGGAATTTTTTTTTTTTTGCAATTTTTTTTGGGTACGATCATATGGAGGCGTCTGCATGTAGTCAAGGGTAAAAGGCAGAAAATGATGGTTTTGTGTGTTATTTTCTCATTTTTCCAATAAAAAAATTAGGGTAGGGGCTGTCAGAATAGGGTAGGTAGGGAAACCGGAAGCAGATTTTTTTTTTTTTGCCTTAGTGAATGGGCTCAATCCAGTCCATAGACTTTATTTACGAGTCGGCCATATTAAAATGAAAGCGAGGTAAACTCTTCATTTTTGGAACTTGATTGTAGAAATGAAAGCATTGAAATAAAAACTCATTACAAATACCAGTCTGTTCTGATGATAAAATTAAAATTTGTGATTAAACATACCCTAATGTTTTAAAGGGAATGTACATCATTGGTTTTTGATGTAACTTTCAGAAATGAACTATTTGAGTGGTTAGTATATATAGATCAAATATTGTTACACTGACTTTTTTGAAGTTTTGTGTTAGAAAAGGTTGGAAAAACCAAGAAAAACAAAAATGTTTAAGTAGTCTGGTTCCCTGACTCCACAAAAGATAAAATGGATCAATTTATAGATGATGGAAAATTGTAAGGCACAGCAACCAGTCTAGCTGGTCTGCACCCGTTCATGAAACATGTAACCAATAGCAAACAAAATTTGGACTGAAAAAAAAGGTTAATTTGGAGCAGTAGTTGAAAAATAGTTAGGTTTTTCCAACGCTGGTCGGCCGACCACCAATGGATATGTATACAAAAATACCATTTTCTTGAAAAGGACTTCACACCAGGTGCCATAATTTTACAAAATGCTTGAGACTATCATTTACCAACATCCTAGTAAGGTATTTCGTAAAACTTGGTAGTTTTATTTTTCGATGTTTGCAAATATTGTATATTCCCTTTAAGCCACATTTAAAAAAAAAAAAAACTGAAAGTGAGACTTTGAACGCACTCCAATCATAAAATAGTCTGGCACCATCCCATTCAACAGTTTACAATTTATAAAATAGATTCAGGGAACATGATCGAAAATGGCTTCCTCTTGTCTATTTTGTAGACCAGATTCCGGTGAATAGCCATTCGGAACCAACTAAATAGAATGTGTGCATTAACAAATGAATACAATCTTTTTTTTCAAGTAACACTGGTCAATTTATGATTTCTATGTATTCAGGGTATAAACTTCTCATCTGCAATGTCCTTGCGATTGCCACACTGAGAGGTCCTGGCCTTAGCACCTTTGAAGTAGAGCGTGGTCTTCTCTACAGCGATCACGACGAGATGTGGGCCAGTGAAGAATACGACGAAGAAACCCCGACGTCACATGACAGTTTTTACTCTGACGGTACGGTCTCGGACAGCCCGACCTCTGAGACAGAGTACCGGTTTACTTTGATACAGGACATCAGTAGCAGTCTGAAGCGGCCATGGGAACCGGTGGAAAGACGTCACATGACCATTCCAAAGTTCCTAACTCAAGATCTGCTCATAGACGCAGACCAGTGAAAAGTTCACGTGCAATTTGCACTATCAGCAGGAATATGCAACATCTTTGTTTGTTACAGGGTAATTTATGGTTTGGAAAAGAACGTTTTGGTAAAAAAAATGGTCAAAATTGTGGGCACAGGGTTAATTGTTGTAAGATATGTATACAGGCATTCCAGAGGAATAACTGACTGTAATATAATTATCATAATTTATGGCAAATTTGCTGATAATGACATGTTGTTTTGTTGTTAGTTTTCATTTGTATTTAATAGGAACAAGTGAGGCTGATTTTTCTTTGAAGTTAAATTAAAGCATATTTTAAATTATTTGGGGATAACATAATTATTGATAATGAGATTATCACAATGTTTGAGGATGCCACCTTCATCCAAAGTATAATAACAAAAAAAAGATAGTATATTGAAAACAAACTGATACATGGTATGTGAATAAATGATTTGATTAGGTACCAATTGATTCATATTTAACATATATTTGGATGTGTGATCATTGATCAAATAAGTTATTGCTGTAATAAAAAGTAACTGAATACTTGTGTTGTTGTGTTGTTGATGTTCAAATAAAATGATTGTTCCTTATGTGGTGTTGGAACTTGAGTAATTAGACATTATATTGTCATTTGAAGGAAAAGGAAAATACAAGGGGACATTTTTAAAAGATCCATCTGGGATTAGAGAGATGACACTTATTGTTCAAAAGGGGTAGATGCTTTGGGGGGGGGGGGAAATAAGGTGAGATTTTGTGGTTCATTTCTATTTTTGTATTGATCAGTCCCTGTTTACCAACATCAAATTTGAATAAATGATGATACGAAAGTAGGTAGTACTATTGATAGATAATATTGTGTTGAAGGGAAAATACAAAGCAGAAAATACAAGGATTGTACATGTTATTTAAATTATCTTTTTCTGGGGGGGGGGGGTTTGAGCTCCGCCTTTAATATTGACCTTATCTCACGCTGGCCGGTGCTGACCAAGAGAGGGCGCGCTACCAAAATTATAACAGTCATAAGATGATGATGATCGAGCGGGGAAGAACCTGATCTTTCAACTTCCAGTTCCATGCTGATGTTTCAATAGTAAGTATTCATTTTTTCCTAGCCACATCACGGCAACTAGACACGAGTAATCGGAGTATTCTAGCGAGTTGTTGCTTTGGTTGCTTTACTGTAACTCCAGCTCGTAATATTAATAATCATGCTCATCGCATTGAGATTGCTCAATGGTCATTTGATGATGAGCATTGGACATGTTGGAGCTTAGACCCGTGAACGTGGCTATATACACTTCAGTAAAAACACTCTATTGTGATCCGCTGTTACTAAAATGGAGTGACCGTTCTAGCCGAATTTCGGCTACATTCGACAGAATATTTGCATACAAAAATGAGTTGTACATAAAATCAGCAGAATATTTTTTCGGCAGAATTATGAAGATGAAGGAAAATAAAAAAGATTGGAAAGAAATATGGCACATTTGGTTTGAAAAACCTTCTTTTTTTGAAAAATCCTTAACACAAACCCTTGCACAATGGAACAGCAATATAAACTGGGTGATTTGGCCGACTTTCGAAATGGATTTAGCAGAATTTTACAAGGTATTACGGTCATCTGACATTTAGTCGGGTACCAACTGGTGATACTCCTACCGTTTTGCGCATGCGGAAGTCAGGGTACCAGAGTGTCATGCCTGTCTTTGATTTCCTGATCATTTTGAAAACATTCGTTGTGACAAAGTTGTGCCGTACTTTACATAAAATTTCTTTGCGATGACAGATCCAACACTCGCGGAAATTTACAGGAGGCCCAACAAGTAAGTGATTCACATATTGGCGAAATTATACATGGTTATATGTAGCGGATCAAAAGATAGAATGCTGTCGCTAGCATTTACCCGACGGAAGCGCGTGGCGTTGTATACAACGCCACGTTCACGGGTCTAGTTGGAGCTGGAGTAGTTTACTCAATTAGGCCTAACTGCTCAGCTATGGCCATGATGGTTGTGTATTAAATGCGCGTCTAGCTTGAGAAACTCCAGCTCCCAATCCCATTCATCAGGAATTCAACATCTACATGTCGAATTCCCGATGAGCATTGGAGCTGGAATTTTTCTCAAGCTAAAAATTTTAAAATGCACCTATCAAATGTTTCAGTTTCACCCTCCCCTTCCCTCCCCTTCCCTCCCTCCCCCTCCCTCGCCCCTGGGGCCTGGTGGGAAGGGGGGGGGGGAGCTTGACATTTATAAACCTGGCTTCTATCACTGGTCAGCTGTTTAGTGTTTTAATGTTACATTTTGTTTGTTATTTGGTCCTTCCTGGTGTTCCGTTTTGTTTCACTTTCAGTTTGAAGTCTCCATCTCACATGACAATGATCACTCAAGATCCGGTTTTTGAAGTTGTTCTACCAGTACCATCAGGATAAACCCAACCTAGTCGCTTCCACCAGATGATCCAACCTTAAGCATTGTAAGTAGTCCAAATATCAGTGTAGAGTTGGCAATTTTGTGGGGAAAAAATGTTGTACAAAGTCTATGAGAGTCAAGAACAAGTATTTCCTAACAAAATTGGAAATGTTTCTCAGTCCCAGATTCATCTCTTAATTTTTGCAATGACTGACCTTCATGGAGATGATATGAAGAAAAAAGTGGCATCAGGTTGCAACATTTTTCCATTTTGTGGACCATCTATCCCATTGCTTGTGTGGCTACATGAATTTTGTCGGATAAGCTCAGCTCATCAACCTCAATTTTTCGTTTTCCATTTGTATGAATTCAAACAACTTGTCCCTTTCAGCTGGTGCTCATCCACATCCCTGGTACCCAGCAGCCATGGGGCAGTCGTGCTGCAAGAGAAAGCCAGAGACAGACGGCACGGGTGTCAACATACCCACCGTACCTACCTGGAAGGCAGTAGGGTCTCTAGTTCTCATCTTTGCCGTCTATATCGGCGTGCAGGTGGTGGGCCAGGCCTACCCTGTTCTTATTCCTTCGGGTGAGTAAAGATGATCTTCTGTTCCTTGTTACATCGTCCCAACTACAATCGGGATGGTCCCAAGTATAGTTGTGGCCATTGGTCTAGTTGGGGAGAAACGTCTCAGTCTTACTAAATACTTACACGAGGATGCCAGATCTATGACGGGACCCAATACCCTGCGAAAGACTGTATGTTACCATATGGCCTGCTTAGGAAACATTGTAATTAATTTAACATTTAAAGGTAGAGCATGGCCCAATTTCATAGAGCTGCTTAAGCAGAACATTTGCTTAAGCACGAAAAAACATTGCTTAGTAAAATTAGGTTACCGGCAAAAACTCCATGTGATGTACATTGCTTGTGACTGGTATTTAACTGTTGTTTACTTAGCATAACAATCGCATGGAGTTTTGGCCGGTAACCTGATTTTATTAAGCAAGACGTTTTTGTGCTTAAGCAAATTTTGTGCTTAAGCAGCTCTATGCAATTGGCCCCATATCATTTGCAGCTATCCAAAAAGTAACTAATAAATTATGTACTTTCAAAAAATCAGTTACCGATTCAAATTTTATGACATGAGGTTTGCTGCATGAGGACTTGAACCTAGCACGCAGGGCTAGTAATCCAACTGATATTGGTATAGTACTAACTGACTTCCTCTCATTATCTGTTAGGTATGAGATGTTACCAGAATTATACCTACGTCTGTCAAGAAAACAGGTCCATATATGTCCCCCCTGCCTCGCCACAGAGTGAATGCCATGCTACCACGGGATGTATTGAGTTCAGTGATGCTTTGGTAAGAGTTCAGGACATGTGGAAAATCTTGCCCTATTTCTGAAAATTCACTCTCAGTTCATCGAGTGTTAGCGGGGAGGGGGTGAGAGGATATGCAAATGATCCAGTATGAATGATGTATGTTTCTCAACGGCCAATCATGCCACAGATCAATGATTGTTAGTTTGGTAACCCAAAGCTGGAGCACGCGCGATGCAACCCACGCCATGTTTAAAAACAGCGTGGCATGTCCAATCAGATCCTGTTCCGTATAAGCTCATTCTCATTAAAGCTACAGTCCATCATTTGCAGTTATCCAAAAAGTAACTGACGTAATTATTGTTCAAAAACATACTTGGTTGAAAGATAGTAAGGGAACTAAACTCCCTGTGAAATTATTCTTTCTGGAATGCTGTCCTTTGGAAGAAATCAACGAAAGAAGGCCTTTCAAACGATGCGTCTAAAGACGCATCATATGAAATTTCCGTTAGTAGTTCATTTTTTATTCGGTGAAGCGCGCACAAGCATTCGCACGACGCTCACGCGCCCGTGGTTGCTGTAATTCATCGAATCAGTGCGCGACATCTCGTAGCTGCAATCAGCTCAGTGAGAACGTGTCTCGGACGCTGAATTCAGGCCCAATTCCAAACATGATTCAGCAACTTTTGATTTGAAATTGAGATCCTAGAATGTTGTTTTTCTCGAAATGTACAGCTGAAGCAGAGCTGAAACTTCATCAGGTTAGTTGTTCAGCTGCCTTCTTTAGATTTTGAGCACTTTCGTTGCTTCAAACGAACAAATTGCAAAAAGTACAAGTGATGGACTCTACCTTTAACATAACCGAAAAACCCGGCTGTGCTCCTTCGGAGCAGGAGCTGTGACTCTTCGATACCAGGGCAGTACTGCGCGACCGTGTCTGCGTGCACTGTAGGCTTCGTGCAAACGACAGATCGGGGTTCGCCACTCCAGACGTAACCAGACTAATTAATTTTTTTGTGTACTTATTAATGATTTGTTTAGTTAAAAGTTGCATTTCGATTTTTTGAAGTGTTAACATTGAGGTTTATAAATCCGTGGAATTGCCCTCAACCTATTGTTGATCACGTTACCGTTCCTCCTCATTTGTTTTTAATCAGACTTAATTAATTTTTTTTTAGTCATTTTTTTTTTACCTTCCGTGTTTTGTCTTGACAGCAAGGCATACTGACTGGCCTGACGTTCACCTCTGTGTACTTCATAGCTGGTATTCCGTTGGCCAAGGCAGCTAGTACAGGATCCCGTGTATTGGTGCTAGCAGTAGGGCAGATATTCCTGGTAGGAATGTCTGTGGTGACTGCAGTCAGCGATCGCTTCCTTGTGCTCTGGCTGGCTAGGTTGGGTGTCGGATTCGGGGAGGTAAGTACTAATGGTGCTCTTAATTAACGAGGATGCATTTGCTGCTGTTGTTGGTGATGTTGCTGTTGGCATAATTTGTGTGACCACTGCAGTTGATGTCATTTTTTGCCCTTGTTGTTGCTGTTACCACTGCAGATGTTCCTGCTGTTGCTGTGTCCCCCTTGCTTCCTCTGCTAGTGTTGCTACTGCTGCTCCTATTACTGCTGCTGCTACAATTAGGAATTCTGCTGTTGCTGTTGCTTCTGCTGTAGCTGCTACTGTAGCTGCTGCTGCTGCTGTTGCTGTTGCTGCTACTGTAGCTGCTACTGTAGCTGCTGCTGCAACATGCTGCTACTGTAGCTACTGCTCCAGCTGTTGCTGCTGATGCTGCTGCTGTTGCTGTTACTGTTGCTGCTGCTGTTGCTACTGCTGTTGCTGCTATAGCTGCTGCTGTTGTTGCTGCTGCTGTTACTACTGCTACTGTTATTGCAATGTCTGCTATTAATGCTATTGTTGTTGCTACTATTGCCACTGTTGTTGCTGCTGCTGTTGGTAATTCAGCTGTTGCTGCTGCAGACGTAATTGGTGATGCTGCTGCTGCAGACGTAATTGGTGATGCTGCTGCTGCAGACGTAATTGGTGATGCTGCTGCTATTACCGCTGTAGTTGCTTCTGTTGCTGCTTTCACCGTGCATGGCATTCTTAATATTACAGTTCAAACCACAACTCCAGAATAAAATGATGAAAATTGTTTTGCTTCCTTTTTTTTTACCCAAATGTAGTTTAAACAAAGGTCCATTTCGGTCTTCGGTTGAATTTTAAGTGGATATTGTCTAGTTGCCATAGAGTTTGTGTAAATTGTGAATTGTATGCATGTCATTTTCCTTTAATTTGTATCCTCTCCCCTCTCACAGGCAGCATGTAGCCCAGCCGCTTATTCCCTCATCTCGGATTACTTTCTTACCATGAATCGTGCCAAGGCCTTGTCTTTCTACTACTTTGCCACCAATATTGGTAAGGAATTTGCATTGCTACGTAATAGGGAAGCCCTTTACCCTCAAATAAAGCTCGAGTCGACCATTCTTACTCATAGTTTTGCCAAAGTTTGCCAATGTGGGAAAGTTGTTTTCACGAGACTTGAATGGTTCAAATAACAATTTTGGACCAAATGGGAAGGAGTTATTAAATGTGTCACTTACCTTGCCTCTGTTTACAAAGCAGGCGGTCTTGACATAATACACAAGTCCAGAAAAACCAGGATGAACTTACATGTAACAGGGTTAATTGCAGCAAGCTTTGACATGACAGCCTTTTTTTCTTTAGACCAAGGTTAACCCTAACCCCCTAGGCCCTTTTGGCTAGGAACCATCCTCAATCCTGTCTCTGCCCTCTACTTGGAAGCCTTTTTCACAATTGCAATGTTTTGGCCCATGTTCTTTACTGCGGCAGTCAAAATATCAGTTGCCGCGGGCAAAATAAAAGCGGTACTTGTGTTCAATTGGCCATAACTCAATAAATATTTTACAAATTGGAAAGATATTTCGTTGTTGAAAAGCTAATGGGCTATACTCTCTAAATATGTAAAGATATTTGCGATGTATATTTTTAAAAACTGTGAAAAAGAGGGCGCTTTGAGGGTTCGTTGTTTTTTTAGACACGTACCCTGTAGTCTACGCAGTAAGCCAGATTGTGGCCAATCATTGGCGTTACAGGATAAACCTACAGGATAGCATTGCCTGGCCCAAACGTTTCAGTCAGTCAGTCTTTCAAAACACGAACTTTCCAAACACCTGCAGGAGTGGCCATTGCTTACCTGCTGGGTGTGGTCAATGCCTACCTGTGTTGGCGCTGGGTCTTCTACTGCCTTGCAATCGCCGGTGGCGTGCTCTTCCTACTCATCCTGATCTTCCTTCGAGAGCCGCTTCACGACTCCTGCGATTGGTTGCTGAATAGTCGAAGCACGTACACCTTGAAGGTGAGTAGCCTGCTAAGAATATTAGTGAAGGTTAATTATGCCATTAGTGATTATCCCAAAACATCAAAAAACCCGCAAAATGTATTCCTCCAAAATTTGTCCAGCCTTCCTTCAGGAATGTTTTCCTTAAATTTTCGCAGTATTTCCATAAACATCGCCAACTTCTCTTAACTGCAGATAACAATATTTTTCATTGCTACATTTATTTTGTGGAAACTTACCTGAAAATTTCCCTCCATTTCCAAAATCAGTTCACAAGGGAACTATTTGTCTTTCAAAAATATTTTTTTTTTCAATTGCTAATGCACGTAAAAAGTGTGTTCGCTGGCACATTCTTTTAAAACCACCTTTCGATTGTTTTCTTCTGAACGATACCATTTCAGGCGGGATAATTTCACAGGGTATTTGGTACCAGCCCCATCTTCATTTTGAGCAAGTTTTTTTTTTTCACAAAATCAGTAGGTTTGTTTTGAAGTTATTATCGATGCTTCTATATGCCTTTAAAGGGAAGACACAACATTGCAAACATCACAAAACCAAATGATCAAATTATCATAAAAAAAACTTACTGGATTGTTAGGGAATGACAGACTAAAGCATCCTGTAAAATCGTGGCTCCTGGTGTGCTGACATTTTCAAGAAAAACTGTTTTTTCCCCTTCAAAAACTGCTTCTATTTTTTCATATTTAGTTATTCCTCATTTTCTTTGCAATTGATTACACACCTGTGAAAGGCTACAAGCCTGCTACTTTTGCTAGACTGATTCTCTGATCTTACAAATTTCCCAAAGTCTATAGATTGCTCAGTTTCATCTTAAGTGGGGTCAGGGAACCAGACTACAAGAACATGATTGGTTTTCTTGGTTTTGCCAGCATCTACAAGCCCAAAACATGAAACAAGACATTTTAACAATATTTGCTTTTACATACTGATCCTCCAAACTCAATTATTTCTGACAATTGCAGCAAAAACAACTGTTGTACATTCCCTTTAACTGTGAGTGGTTGCATTAATAACAGTGAAAAACTCCTTTGATATCAATCTTGCACCATGTCCCAAAGGATGTTGGCTCCATGAATGTTCGCTCTCCACTCCTGTCTGTCTTGCGCTCTAGGGTGTTCCAGGTAGAGGGCGCTGTTATCCATGATGTCATTTTCCTATCTCTTCCTTTGCCTACCCCGTCTATTTTTCCCAGTGACTGTTTCTAGGATGATGCGTTTTGGAAATCTGCTGTTTTCCATTTTCACTATGTGGCCAAACCAGGCAAGTTGGGTTTTGTAGTTGTGTCAGGTGATTAACTCTTGTGAATTACCATCAGCCGAAATTCTCCTCCAAGCCCCTTCATTTCACACCTTGTCTTGCCAAGAGATGTTCAGAGTTTTGCGATAGCAGCGCATCTGAAAGGCTTCTAATGATGGTCCAAGCTGCTCAGCCATATAGGTTGTCAAAATAACTTTATTTTCTCCATCCTTCAAGGAAACTATGCAGCAACTCATCAGTAACAAACCCTATGTAGTCTTGTGTTCGGCCACCTCTGCCCGATACATCTCGACATACACGCTGTGGGCCTGGCTACCCACCTTCTACGCCAAGGTCTGGCACCTCCCCTCCGAGAAGTTTGGTGTGAATGTCGCCCTCGTGGTTGTGTGTGGGGGAGGTGCAGGCTGTCTCATTGGGGGAGTCTTAGCCAATAGGTAAGCGGGAAACATCTGACAAAACTTGGAAACATTGTGGAGGTTTTTTTTTTTTACTTTAAACAGGTTGGGTTGTGAAACTCTTGGCAGTTTTGCATACTGTACCGGTGTCACATGAAATGGGCAAAGAATGTGTCACTATCTTTGTTTTGGGGTAACTAGTCAGTATGAATGTAACCAATGCCAAGGCTTGAACGACACCATGCAAAAGGCGACTCATTTTTAAATGACAGTTAGCAATGGTTGCGACCGTGATGTGGGATATGACGTGTTAAACACCCGAGGAGGGCCCAGAGAGGGTTACAAATGCCACATCAAAGCAATCAAGAATAGTTTTGTTATACCGTGCCAATGGATCAAAAAGATAAAGGGTCGTAACTTGCTATGCAAGGAATAAATTCAATCAAACTCTTTTAACGAGGAAGATGTACTGCCAAGCAGCAGAGATTCCTTGCCATCGACGTGCACTGATAAGCGAACTTCTCCAGAAGTGCAAAAGCAACAGTCATCTATCTATAATATTGATACAAGAACATTTTACTGTACTCGTGTAAGTATTAAAGTTTGAACATTGCAGCCACATTACACCTTTGTTCGTAAGCTTTATGCATTTTCTTGAAAAATGCAGGTTTTCTTTATGAAAAATACAATTGTTGGCATTTCAGAATACAGTTTTGTGATCCCTAAAGGTTGGCAGGTCTGATTATGTTCTAAATATGATGGCCTTTCTTGACCTCCCTGAACCCAGGATATCCAGACGAAGGAAACAGTACAAGGCTTACTTGATAGCAGCCAGCCAGCTTGCCGCGGCGCCGTTCATTGTAGCGACGTTGTTGGTGCGTTCTCCAGCGTGTTCCTTCGGCCTGCTGTTCCTTGCCTGTCTAACTGCCGAGATTGCCCCGGGACCTGCTGCAAGTACTGTCCAGGTAGGTCTTGGATTTCAGTCAGTAAAGAGACAGTTTGCTTGGTTCAGGCGGATGCAAATGTGAAGAAAAATTGATGTCAAATAACTTTGATGTGAAATCTTTGCGCCTTGAATGCTGCCATTTGCAAGAAAAGTGGAACTTGTATCAAATTCCAACGATGGTTTGCCAACAATCATTGGTTCTGGCTAATTTTTTTCAAAAATTGCCCCCAATTGACCGAATTTAGTTAGTCCACATTTTTTTTTGCAATCGGTTCAAAATATCTGTGAATGGGCACACGCCGGCTAGTCTGGTTCCCTGGCCTGACAATTCCCTATTGTTTATAAAATGTTGTGTTTTGTGTTAAGGGTTGGGTCAGGGAAGCAGACAACAAGAACAGTGTGTTGTTTCCCCTTGGTTTTTTTCTGGCATCCATGAACGCAAAAGTTTAAACAGCACAGTGGAACAATATCTGCTATAAAATGCTAACCTCCCAATCCGTCCATTTCTGAAAATTACAGCAAAAGCAAATGTTGTAATATGCCTTTAAGCAATTGAAGCTTTTAACATCAGAACCATTTTTTCTGTTTATTTGGGTTGATCTGTTTCTTTAACAGGATTTATTTGCCACAAATCTGAGGTCGCAAGCATTAGCTGTATACATTGCCGTCGGTAACATCCTAGGTGGTGCAGTCGGCCCGATATTGGTGAGTCAAAACACAAAGTGATCTTCTAGAACTCAAATAGATTCATATTTTTTTGTCAGCTATGCCCACTCACTCCTTACCTGTCCCACCCCCTATCCCCACCCCATATGTGAGGGGGAAAAATGAGACTGAATTGGGCACAGGCCATAGTGGAGAAAAATGCAAAATACCAAATGGGGTAATTATTGTTTTGATTTTCAGCTTGATTGATATTTGTAATCGTTGATATGTCTGCTTACACATATTTTTAAAAAATAGTATAAAAATCGTGGAATAAAAGCATTTTTAGGGAAAAACAATTGGCATCTTTCATTTTCCCAACTACAAACCTTGAAATTTTAAAAGGCCTTTCTCTCAGTTTTTTTACTTTTTTGGCATGTCAACAACTGCGAACTTTAAACAGTCTTATTGTCAACGGAATGTCCGATTGCAGTGCAACGAACAGTGTAAAGAGAATTATGTTATTTTTCCTATTTGTCTACAAACCCTCATTTCGACCTGTGCCCAGTTCTGTCTCATTTTGCCAGAATGCCTCACATATATGCCAGTTGTCATTCTGTGCTTTGTGTCACCGGAAGTGGGAAGGAATTTTTTCCTCTAACTGCCCACTTTTAGATACCCGCTGCAGAGACATATGTACTGTTCCCCGCCACATTCGGAAATGTTCATCTGCCTTTGCACCACTGTACCCAGTAGATGTTACATGTGGCACCTGTCCTTTAATTAGGGTAGTCTGGGGCAACACATTTTCTTTTTTTCACATAAAATGCCGTTTTATTTCCTCTATGTAGTTAATTTCCCTAACACCAAATGATGGTGTAACATTTTAAATATTTTATTTTTGATATTTTTAATAATTTTTAAAATTTTAATATTTGTGTGTTTAATTTTACTCTGTGTTTTAGCCATTCCGAATATTTTATCTAGATAGTTTAATCATAATATTCAGATTGCTTCACATTGTGCTCATCAATCTAAATTTATTTTTCGATTTGTAATTACATCTAACTTCTATTTGTAATTTTTATTGTATTATATTTTGGTGTATTTTCATGCAGCATTTGGAGAGCCTTTGATTGTGATTTAGTTCACATGTTGGCAATCCTTCAAGGATGCTGTTATGTTCGTTTTATCTTCTTTTTTTATGTTAGTTTCTTGTAAATTTACCTGTCTTGTATTAACTTCGTTTGTTTGTGAGTGTGTATTCCCTGAGAAATTATAAATGAAATGATATGAAATAAGATTCTGGAGATCTTTAAGCTAATTTCACAGTTTTCAGTAATTGTTTCCTTCCGTTTGTTTCCCTCAGATTCCAGGCATCATGTCGTTTCATCTGTGCTGGCATGATTGGGACCGGGGACTAGGCACAGCCTTAGCCATAGTCGTGCCAGTCTTCTACCTACTGGCTGCCATCCTGTACACCCTGACTGCTTACCTGATGCCTAGCGCGCCTAGCCTGAGCGAGGAGACGATCTACTTGAAGTATGAGACTAGCGAGGTTGATCCTGGGAGCGACGATGAAAGAGAGACGTTCTTCTACGGTTCGCAGTCTTGCTGACAACCTTGCAAGACACTAAGAGGTGTATTTTGCCCACGGTGGGTGTGAAACATGCCGTGGGCTTGAGCTGCTTATGTTGGATGGTGGGTGGGTGGGTTGGTGGACACTTAACTCAACCATTTATTGTATACATGCAACTGGAGTATTACAGCTTTGCATTCGAAGACGGGTTTTGAAAATGCTGATTCGTATGTGTCTAATTAGCATATTTTGGCATATTAGATCACGCCCATAGAGTTATATTAAATTACTAGAACGCTAACTCCTCATTCTTGCGCACAGAGACACTTTGAAACCGCTCTGGGTGCAGACATTTTGAATTTATGTGCATGTTTGTAGAACACCATCAAAACAGATGGATTGAATTTTAAAGAGTACTCTACATGCAGCACGCAAGTAGAAGATACACAAACAACTTAAGCGCGTCTTGACGGTTCAAAAAACGTCACAGCGAAGAACATCTGCAGCGGAGGGACGCGCACACGTTGCGCTGTTTGTGTAGAGCAAAATGATAAATGCTCATTTGCTGATCGTGCGTTTTGGTTTTGGGCGTATCGGCTTCGATAACGCACCGGTATGGAATACAAACGCAGATATGCAAACAGCTGTACAAAAGCCGTACAAAATTTCGTGTTTTCCATAGGTTTGTGCACAAACATGGATGCGCCCATCAGGCATTACTTTGTACATCGAGTTAGCGCTCTAGTAATTTAATACAGCTCTATGATCACGCTCCATTCGGGTGCACGGACGGCGCCGTATTAAAGCCGTCTTCACACATTACCCGGCCACTGTGGGTTGTACCACTTGGTACTTGTTATTATATTTCCTGGCAGTGTTGTAGTCAAGTCCATCACAAGTCCCGGGGCCAATTTCACGGCGCTGCTAAGCACAAAAATGTGCTTAGCACAATTAAAGTCTGGCTTATAAAAGCAGGCTACCAGCCAAAACTCCATGTGATTTTCATGCTAAGCAAACAACAGCTGAATACCAATCACAAGCAATATCAAGACATTTCATGCTAAGCAAATTTGTGTGCTTAGCAGCTCCAGGAAATTGGCCCCTGCAGTGCCCAATTTCACGGCGCTGCTTAACAGTTAGCAGAAAAGTTGTGTTTAGCATAGCAGAAAAAGTTGCTAACCTTAAGCACTATTTCACGGCGTGGACGTGCTTACGGTCGCACGTGCATGGAGATTTCTATTGTTACGTCACTAAGTTAAGCAAATTTTTCCTCCGAAGTAAGCATGCCTTTTGCTGTGCTTATGCTTATGGTCTCCATGAAATAGACAGAGGCTCTGTTAGCAGAAAATTGTGTGCTTAGCAGCGCCGTGAAATTGGGCCCTGGTCGCCAAGTAAATCACAATTTACAAGCCAGATCACGAGTAACAGGCGATGAACAATAACAAAGGAATGCCTTTGTCACGGTGCATTTGAATAATTTGTGAGGTGACGTGGGACTAGAAGACTTGTGATGGACTTGTGGTGATTTTGTGAAGACCTGTAATGGACTACACTAGCAGGGCAATTCCATGGTAACTCACGTTACATTTGGAGGGGGTCTTTTATCAACTCTGTGCTGTTATTCTATAAAGCCAAAGCATTTAAGGTGGATTTTTCTTACAGAAGATGCCTTGAAATTAAGTGTCTAAACTACCACACAAAGAAGGCTAACAAAATAAACTTCTGATATTTTGGCATTACGTTTCTTATCGGTAACTCACCTTACATAAAAAAAGGACATGGAGAAATTTAAATAACTTGCATTTGCAAGTGTCCTCATACTGTGCACTGATGGAAAACTCTTCTCAGCGACCTTACATCATTGGGGTGTAAGGTATATGCTGCCATTACAGTGATCAAAAATAATCATAGAATATCTAGACAGCAAAGGTCCAAAACGCTGCCTGTTCAAACATTCACAGGCAGAACAACAGCCCCTCTCTTTGTGGACAAAAGTGGTGTCAAGAAAATACTGTTTCTGGTACCACAACATTTATTTCACTATTCGGGTGTAATCTAAACACTGCACGGCTGTTGAAACCAGCAACACAGCTGTTCAGCCGGCATATTGAAATTTGGGGGGAAATTTCTTTCCCAGGCTATGAAAAATTTCTTGCGTGCTATCTTTCCATTTTGTAGAGTATTTATTCATTCCAATTAATCCATCGACTATTAACCTTTGAAAGTTTTAAAACCTAATATGATTTTTTTAATGTATGATGTTATCATCTGTAATGGCCAAAAATTGAGTTGTTATGCCCATAATGTGGATTGAACAAATTTTGGAGGTGATCCAGATATTGAAAATGCTCCTATGTTTGGTCAGGATCCTCTTTATTAAGTTTTTTTTTGGAGGGTGGGGGATTTCTGATGCAATTACGTCAATGTGAGCTGAAATCTTGTTGAAATTATTATGTTGCGATTTTGACAACAGAACTGAAATGGTGCTATATATTTTTTGATTGAAATTAATCGCTTAAACAAGTTTGGATTTTATTTGTTTTCATTTTTGTTTGGGAGCCACTAGTATGTTTTTGCTAATGGCAATTTAAACCTTTCATGTATTTCTCAACTTTTGTACAATTTCATGTCCATATTCATTTTATTTTGTTTTCAATAATTACTTGGCAAATTAGCAATATATTGTAGTTCAGAATTTCTGCATTACAAGGAATAATTTTTTTTTATTGCACTCGGAACATTCTTCTCAAAAAATGATTTGGTTTTCATGAAATGCTTGTATACATGCAAAAGCTGAACTGTGTCAAATAGCTGTACATTCCTATAATTTATGTTACTAATTCCAAACCAAAGCTATGCATTTGCATCTTTCTATGAAGATGGGATGCACCTGTAAGATTCTAACACATTTTGAGATAACATATATGGGGTCACTCGGTGTAACTAAATTGTTCTTAATTTTGATTGTGATACTTAATCAAGTTGTAAAAAGAAACATTATTTATAACACTTTGGTTACTACTAGCAAACGCTTATACATAATCTACAAATGTGATGCAATCAAGCTAAATGAGTCGTTTGTCGGGAACTTTCATCTGGAGATTCATGCCAAAAATAGGGCCACTTCATCACATCACTTTGTCACATCTCTTGGTGTTCCGATTTCCATAATTTTTGAACTAAAGATGGTATCAGCATGCGGTTTTCACAGCAGTAATGCTGAGATTGTGCTCTTTTCAAATCTGTAAACAAAAAATTTACCTGGGTCGACAAATGACTCATTTATAGCTTGATCGCATCGCAAATATCTCCGGATGTCACAAAACGTTCCCCTTTATTGAAAGACCCACTTATATAGCCTGTAGAAAACTGATTGAACTTTTTATATTAAGATGTATTAAAACAAGATTGTTGTTTTGTACAAAATTATCATACAATGATACTAAATAAGTTATATTTTTTTCTTGATTATATTCATTAAAATTTGCAGAAGTACTTTTTTAATTTCTAATTTTCTTTATGCAGAAACTACATTATATATTTTTTGATTAATAAAATTTTCATATTCAATGCAAAGAATACTTGTCTTATTTGTGCATATAATAATATAATTCTTACAGCTGACATGACATGTAAGGATATATCTATGTTTCTTGTGGCATGAGCAGAAAGTTAACTTTCATTGTCGTTCAATTTCAGTAACAAGAGTCATTTGGCAAGTGCATGTACATAAAGCAGCTGCAATATTTGATCGGTTTCACTCGAATGAAAACAAGTATTTTCACACATTTGGGGGGGTTAGAACTAGAGGTTTTTTGGTCTTGAAGGTAAAATACAACATTTGCAAACATCAAAAACCAAAACAACCAAATTTGTATGAAATACCTCACTTGACTGTAACTGAAAAATATAGTCTCAAGCATCCTGTGAAATCATGGCACCTGGTGTGCTGTATCAATTGCCAACGATGGTTGGCCGACCATCGTTGGAAGGACAAAAACTTACTTTTTTCAAATACTGCCCCCAATTTACCAAATTGAGTTAGTCCCTGTTGTGCTTGCAATCGGTTACACATCAGTGAATGGGTGCTAGCTAGCAGTCTGGTTCCCTGACCTGGCAACTCCCCAGCGTCTACAAATTTTCTCTGTTTCGTCTGAAGTAGGGCTAGAGAGCCAGATTACATGCGTTTTATTTTCCTTGGTTTTTTTTTCAGCCTCTAATATTTACTAACAATATTTGCTATAAAATACTAACACTCAAATCCATCCATTTCTGAAAATTACAGCCAAAGCAAATGTTATAGTACATGTAAATTGAATGTTCATATGTTTTCTGATATGAAACTAACCTACATATCCCAAACACTCCTAGATTGTTTAAATCCACCATATGTTGTTTTTGACTGATTGAATGAAGGACTGTCATTGTGATTAGCCTGGTTGTTACCTTGCGAAGACAGTTGGGCAGTGCTATTGTATAGGATACCCCACAATGGGCTAAATCCGACCCATTGTTTACACCTAATACATTGAAAAGACTTCCAGTGAATAGCCATTCTGAATCTATTGAATAGAATGTTGTGCACTCTGGGACCAGCTTCCCTAGGCTAGCCCAGTCTCGTATTCAGTCATAGGAATCCCCCAGACTGTTGCCTGCACTGCCCATGTGACGTATGTCGGCCAATCGGCTTGCACCAAGGCTTGTCGTGGCTGTGTTGCCATACACATCAGCTCCCGTGAGTACAGTCTGTGTGCCATCCGCCATAGATGTGGCTATGACTCGCACTTGGGCTCTGGCTAAGGCTTGGTACACTCCGTCCATTCTGCTGTCTTTGAAATGAGACCTTTCAGAGGCATGGACACAAAAATAAAGGGTTTTTTTCAGAATTGTGTGTCTTGCCATTTGAACCTTCAACCCCCTGCAACCATCACTTTGGTTATTAATAGAAGCCCCTCCTCTTTCTGCTTTGACCAATCAGAGCCATGATTGATGTCGGACATGTGCACGTGCGTATGCGCAGCTGGAGCAATAATAATAAGGCTTTATACCTAAGGGCTCAAAGTGCTTCACAATTTCCCATGTTCATCAGGCCATGAGACCGTTTTTTGCAGCAGCTTGAGATCAGCGCAACCTGGTCTTTACAGCCACAGGTACCCATTTATACTCCTGGGTGGAGAGAGGCTATTGTAGTAAAGTGTCTTGCCCAAGAACACAAGCACCATGATCCCCGTTGGGGTTGGAACGCCGTAACCATCGGACCATGGCGCTCCACGTGCAGTGTGGAATTGGAGAAGAGCACTGTTGCTCATGTTCAGAGTGGGCAGGGCTAAATGAATTGGTCTATTGTGGAACTGAAACTGTTAAGGGCTCAGATTCTTGTAGTTGCAGAGCAAATTTTAAAGCTTAACAAATGTATGTGCTTACCTGGGAACCTGTTACAATGTATTGACATCCTATGACTTTTTAGCCGATAACCTATCTCTGCTAAGCACATATTTTCTGTGCTTAACAGAATTTGGCCCCAGGTTCTTGCAGAGGCAGATATGACAAGATGATCACATACTTCTTGAATTGACTTACATTTGGTTATCGGCGATGCGTTCTCTGAGTTTGTAGACCATGGCTCTTAGTCTTCGGTTATCATCAGTAAGTGACTGCACAGTGATCTTATCTACGGACCGCTGGGCGTCCATGTTGGATAACTGCCACTCCAATTCCTGGACCTGGAGATTTTTACAAGATTAGCGTATGAAAAACAACAGCTTGTTTTGAAACATAGATGGCGGATGAAAAAAAAACAAGTGAGTTTATTCCGGGTTAGGAAGAAGTTAAGGCCCAATTAGGTTTTCAAACCACGGCCAAGCGACTTCGTCAGGGCAGCACATTAACAAATACCCACATTTAGTAACAGTTTTTGTTTAGGTTTTATCTCATGAAGTTTGGAAGTCTTATCGATAATTAGAAGATAACATACCTTCTTTCTGTCATCTGTCTCATTTTGGAGTTGCGTTTTCTCCATGTGACTCTCAAGATGACCCTGAATCTCACGGCTGAAATCGGTCAACATTTCATTCAACTTTTGGGGTCTTAAAACAAATCAAAACCAGGACAAGCAAATTAGCGACAACAAGAAACAATTAGTCTCTGAATTTCTATAGTTGATGTGAATAAATACTTTGGATGAATTTCTTAAATTCAAATCCTTATTAGTTTACATTCATATATCCTTGCATCTTCAGGTAAAAATCTGGGGTTTGTTTCATTTGGTTTTAAAAATATATAGTCTTAAAATGTTTGTTACAAAGCAGATAGGACATCACTTTATCCCTCAGACAGCATTTGGCAAAAAATGTTTGTAGAGAGGAACCCTTTTGAATATTGTTGACTGGGATGATGACCAAATAATGTGGTTTTTTTTTTACTGAAACCTACTTAGCACTTGGTTCTTGGCTTAAGCTGGTTGATGTGTCTTCTTTAAACGACTGCCTTCCAAGGGCACTTCTCAGTCTGAATATCTCTGCCTCCTGGTCTTCAGATCTATAGAATGATAAAAATGACTTCAGACTATTATATTTGTCCACTTTCATATTTTTCCCCTAGGTTTTGTAGGTGAACTCTTCAATCAAAACTTCTGTTTGATTCATGTAGCTACGTTTCTGATTTAAAACCCAAATAACATGTCTATCTGGGTGGAATCCCAACGTAGGTCGCATATGTGGTGATCGGCAAGAAAAGTACTACTGCACCAATTTGACTCCCCAGACATCTCGACTTTAATTATTATTTTTTTTCATAACTGGATGAAAAAGTTGATAGTTATTTAATTTCCCCCACCTCTTGGCGAGCTTTGCCTGCATCTCAACTTCCAGTTTGACTTGGGCTTGGAGTTGCCTGATGGCGCTTGTCAGCTCTGTCTCCCTCAGACAAGCATCTTGTAGGGACTCTTGCAATCTCCAACATTCCTTCTTATTCAGCTCAAGAGATCCACTGAAAGGAAAGAAGCACCAGATATGTGGGTCTTAGTGCAGATTATCATACTTCTGACTTAAACATTATCAATTTAGACATTTCTCAAAATTTGACATGAGGGTGGGAGTATTTCAGCCAATGTAAAAAAAAAATGATTTAATGTGCAGGAAGCTTGGGGTTGCATGAAGTGTATGCAAAGTACTAAGGCTACAGAAATTGAGCTGCTTCAAACCTGCTCCAGCCACTATCATCAATGTATTGTGCAATGGTTGTTTGTTTCTGTGTTATGGTGTTTACAGGACTAACCTTGCTATTTGTAGGTCAAAGGAAATTTGCCGGTTTGCCTTTTTCAATTCCATTGCATCAGTCCTGAGGAGAAATTAAAATGATGTACAAAAATGAAAGTTTGTTTGTATTATAAGAATAAACCGGTCTCTTGATAGAGTTCGGGAAATAATCAAGTTTGAAAAAAAACTGGCAAACTGTCAGCAAAAATAGCAAAATCAAAACAAGAAAGTTTACAAATTAAAGATATGAACACTAAGAAGTTGAAATAGAAACTGTGTTTACTTACTTCTGTTGTAGTTTCTGTTTGTCTCTGAATGTCTGTGTGCTGATAGTGATTCCTTCACCCTGTACAATTACAAATTAAAGAATCATAACGATTAAAAGTTGTCACAATAAACATTTATTAAAGCAAAACTTCCAGAGTTTGAAAAATACATACAGTTGATGTGGAGGATGTTTATTTCAAAAGCAAATGATAAAAAAATTACTTACGATTACTTTCGGCCCATCCTGTTTTTGACAAGGACAATTTTGGATCATTCTGACCAGCCCTCTCATGTGCCCTTCTTGTTGGCTCATCAACCTGTCTTGTACCTCCTCCAGACCTGGCAAGTTCTGGGATGAATTCACTGCTGAACTAACTTGCCTCTCGATCAGCTTCAAACTTTTGTATGCCTGATGAATTATTGAAATATAAATAAAGTTAAGAGAATTACAGCATGCCTATCTTACATCCCTTCTATCCCTTTTTTTCCCCAGTTTAACTTATGCATGTTTGTGTGTCTCTTGGTTGTTTCCCATGTCCTTTTGAGATCAAAACGTCCGGCCTAATTACTTTTAAGATTTTTTATAAATTTAAATAACTTTGGTTTTTCAAATCTGATCTGTCTGAGTGTTTGAAATTTCTCTAGCTCTCTCCCATACCATAGAGCAAGGAATTTTGTACTGTAATTTGTCACTGGTGATCACACTTTGTGCGGATTATCAACGGATACCCTTTAAGCCAAAATCAGTCAATTGAATTCTTTATGCAAATTATTCAAATAAGTAAAACTTCCTCAGCCAATGAAATACCTCCCCGAGTTGCCTCTTCAGTGACTGCCTCTCCCTTTCCCAGCTAGAGAGGGCGCCAGACGTTTTCTCCATCTGTTGTCTTAGACGGATCTTGAGGGCGCTGTGCTGGAGGAGGGCCTTCTCTTGGATTTGTTGGAGCTGGGCGACCGAGGCCGCCTGCTTCCGTTGCTCAATGATCGAACGTTCCAGAAGTTTTCTCATCTCCACCAACCTTGAGAAAGTGAATGTTTGACATATTACATTTTATGATGACATTGTTAATCATTCTCAGCTTTTGAAATCCGAGCTGAACTATTAAACTAATTCTTACCTCTGTCCAGCTGATACTTGGGTATCTTTCAGGCGAAGGGCCAAGTCTTTTTCGACCACGGAGGCTATAGCTTGTTGACTTTCCTGCGTAAGTCGTTTGGTCATACTGACAGCCTCTTGCAGTCTGGCCTCTGTGCTTTCTCTCAACCTGGTTAAAAAAAAGTTGACATAGTGTTTTATCAGGTAAATAAAACTGTATAGAGAAGCAATGTTTAGGGATGCACCCCTGCATTAAAATCCCCATAGACACTAGTGCTAAATGCCCATACTTCAAAATTCTTTTGAAAATACTCAGAATTCTCACAGGTATTTAAGCTGCACAGAAAAATGATGATCAACATGTCATCTTTCATTTTCTTTTCATTTTTTTGGTGGGTTGACATTGACTTTTAGAGAAATTCTCACCCAAAGAAGACGACCACTATTTTTTTTCCGAAAGCGAAAAAGTAGCCATCTTGAATAACAATCCCTCCACAACAAGGCAAAATAGCAACACTTTCGAGTCCAATTGCATCCAAAATGCTCAGAATTGGAAGCCCAAAGTCTGGGCCAGAGGTTCATTGCCATATCTCTTCGATTCCCCAATTTCATGGCTCTCAGAACTCTCTAATACAGAATATTTTGAGGGTATAACTCATTTATTCATGAGCTCGGCGGATGGGTTTAGGCCTATTAACAGGTGTGCACCATCAGGAAACTTGTCACAACTTCATAAAAATATAGGGCTTGAAAATCAACCATTTCATATTCAATAGCGTGTTTCTAATATTTCGCTGTGGAACCATTTTTATGAATAATATAATCACTCCATTTCACACAACTGATTCCACCTGTTTCCGATAAATGACTTTTAAATTTGATTGTGGTAGAATATCTTGCTTAGGAACACTAAGTTCTTAACGCAATGTCAAACTGTGATTCACCTGCTAATGTTGTTTGTCTGTGTTCCTAGCTCCTCCTGAAGATCTCTGACTGATGTTCCACATTTCTGCTGTAGCTCCTGGAGCCGATTTGAACATTCCACAATGTCGGCACGGGCTGATTCTAAACCTGTAAATTTCCCAAAGTGAACAGTTTAAACGATATGTTCATGTAAATTAGTTCGCCACCATTCAACTCTCATAAATTTAATTAATCTTCATCGTTTTGACTATTAGATTTAATTACTGTTGGTAAATTTCTGGTCCACAAATAGGTATCTCCTTGAAAGGTTAAACTCACTGGAAAAAGGTCTTACCCTTGAAATTTGCCTGGATTGCCTTTTTGACATCATGAATCTGATAATCCAGGTCTTCTGTTATGTTTTCTTGTTCCTCTCGTCTGGAGTTTCTGCCGTATAATTCTTCTTCGTTGACATCACATATCATGTAACCTATATCCTTCTTTGACCCTGATGACCGCTGGGATGCAACAGACATACTTTGCTTTGAGGCTGTGGGCTGCATTCCGGATCGTACCGATGTTGCTCTCTTCTTTAAAAACCTAAGGTCGCTGTCTTTCCTATCGATCACCGTCAATGCCTCGTCTGTTTCGGCTTCTTCATCAAAGTCGCTATCCATCTTCCCCAGCTGTAACAGCTGTCTAGTCTTCTCCTGATTTTCCACCTTCAGTTCGTGTAAATCAGCTTCAAGTTTTATCTTGTGCATTTCATCTTTCTTCTGCTTGTCTGAGTGCATCTTGCAAATTGCTTCCAGATTCTCGGCTCGGAGCTTCGCCTCGGCAAGCTCACCAGTGCGTTGCTGACAATCGACTCGTAGCTCTCGCAGTTTCCTTTTCAGCAGGCGGACTTCCTCGTCTCTTACCTGGGAATCTTGCTCCAGATATCCCTCCATCTCGTCCTTCAGAGATTGGACTTGAGCCTGGCTGTCCTCTAACTTGCTTGTGAAAAGCTTGCATCTGTCCTCCACTTTCCTCATCTGCGTTTTCAGCAGCGATTGCTTCTGAAGCGCATTGGTGAAATCATCTTGTAAGATGTTGCGTTCTCGCTCTAAGTCTTTTATCAAGGCTTGACTATCGTCAAGTTCATTTTCTAGGTCAACTATTCTGTCTATCTGTTCTCCCAGCTGCATTTTTAAATGGGTGTCGTTGAGTCTGGACTTTCTTCCCTCTTTTGAGTATTCCAAGCTTGCTGTTTCCGTCAGTGGCTTGTTTTGTAAGCGAGGCGTCCCACTTCTTAATTCTGCAATCTCTTTCTGTAGTTCAAGACGTTTCTCAGCTTCGGCCATCCGCCTTGTTTGAAGTCTTTCATTTTCAATCTCAAGAAGTCTAGTTGTGTCGCTTAAGTCTTGAATTTGTCTTTGAGCGGCTTCGAGTTGTGTCTCCAACCTCTGAAGATCTCTTTGATTAATTGCCTCTTTCACTTTGGCAGCTGCTAGACTAGAGCCTCCTTCCTGTTGAACTCTAGTCGGAAACTCATTGCCATCGGGCATGCATGACTGCGCAGTCTCAGCCTGTCTGTGAAGTCTTTCAACTTCCACACGGAGGCTAGATTCCGACTGCTTGACTTCGGTTAATTGATACCGCAACTCTTTATTCTCTCTAGACTCACTGATAGGCCCATTCTGTAGTTTACCCTGGACCTGATCTCTGTTGATATTTCTTACCAATTTGTAAGCTTCTGGACTGCTTCTGTCTCCACTGCGATCAATTTTAACGATTGGACTTTCACTCTCTTCAGCAGCCTTTTGTAACTTGATAACTTGTCTTTTTAGTTCAACGTTTTTGTCGGTCTCTGATGCATACCGTTTCTTCATCGTGTCGTGCTTCTTTTTCAAGAGTTCACCTTGCTTACTGCTTGATTTTAGCTTCTCTTCGAGTTCTTTGTTGATCTTGTTAACTCTAGTAAGATGCTCTTGAATGCGTCTCCGCTCTTCCTGAGCAGCAGTGTGATTACTCCTTAAATACTCTTTGTCAGCTTCCAACGATGTCACGAGCTCGGCACTTTTATTCATACTTACTTGTAGGCAATCAACTTTGGACCGCAGGCTGTCAACAAGCTTTTGTAATTTCACTTCTGTTTGCAAGGCTGCCGTCAGCTGATCCTGCGAGGTCTGTCTGTCTTTGTACAACTCCAGAAGAGCTGCTCGACTCTCTGACAGCTCTTTCTCAACCTGCTGGGTGCAACTTTGGCTGTCCTTTGACGAGGTCTTGTCATCTTGCATGTTCTTTGGCAGATTTGGGATACCCTGCTGTTTGCGCAGTGGATTTGCATATTGTTGATCTTGGTCACTAAAAGCGACAGCCTCTTCTCTTTGTTTGTCTGGGATCCTTCTGCCCCTCAATATTTGCTTTTTATCGTTTACTCCTTTAGTGTTTGAATCACCTGAAACCATCCTCGAGCTTTGAGTTGGTTTAGTCATCACTACTTGCTTGTTGTCCTGTTGTGACAATAGTGCATTGATCGATTGAGACCCCATGGAGGCTTTACCCAAAACACCTGCCTTCTCTCGACTTCTAAAGTTTTCAAATCCTCCAGATTCTCTGTCTGGTGTAACACCTACTTCATGAACCACTCTCTTCCTAGATTTTCCAATATCATCTTTGTCATTTGGAGAACGTTTCAAATCATCTTGATAATCGGACTGCTCTCTGTGATCACCGTCGTCTGTAAACATTTGGGCACTGTTGTCTTTTCCTTCAACTGCCTCGGGATCAAATACTTGACACGAATCCCGAGTGTTTCTTTGGATGCCAAGATGAATGCTATTGCAGTCTGATGTGGGGAAGCTACTCGGTTGATTTGACTCACCAACAGTTCTTTGTTTTTGCAGATGTCGTTTTGATCGAGCATTTGGTTCACGACTGCTGCTGTTCTGCGGTTGTCTAGATCTCAGTCTCCGTCCTTCGGTGTCCGATCCCTTCAAATGTTGACTTCTGAGTGTGTTCCGTTCTTGCTCATGACTCTGTCCGCTCACTGCATTCTGCCGACTGAGATTTCCTAAGGTGGGTCGCATTTCTTCTTGCTGCCTTGACTCCGAGGTGTAATGCTCCTGACACTGATCTGCTTCTGGTTTGTCTCTTGATTCACCGATTGACGACATGATTTGTCCGTTGTCTTTGATCGAATGGTTGACTTCTCCGTCCTGTGACCTCTGATGTTTGAGTTGCCTGCGTGTCTGTTCGAGAGCATCAAGGGCACTGCGGATGGGCACTTCTTGTCGGCTGACCAAAGTTTTCTTCACAGGCTTCTCGAATTCAGACAAAAAATTGAGAGGGTTGTAATCCAATGACAGTGACACTTCTGACCTCAGTGAATGAACTCCCGGCTCTTGGTGATCACTGGCTTTATCCTCAGCTACGAACTGATCAGCTCGTAACTCTTGAAGATTTCCGCCCTCTGCTTGTTGTGTATGCATTTGTTGCAAAGCTGTGCTTAATTCATTAAAAGTTTTGTCTTTCTGACTTGGGTTTATGAAGCCTTCAATGTGTGGTTGTTGTCTCAAGGATCGATTTTGCTGGTAAGGCATTCGGTCTTCTGGTCTGGGACTTTGGTAACGAGCGTCCACCGAATTGTCATTGACGTACTGCAAACTTGCCGGATGCACCCTTTTGAAGTGTTCCTCGGGTTGTTCTGCAACTGCTCCTAGTTGACTTTTTGAAACCTGCGCTTCTGTGTCAGGTTCTAAAGATGCTGTTTCCGACTGTGCTTGGTCCTCTAAACCAAGTATGTAGTCCCCTGTCTCTCTCCGTTTACGAGGCAGCTCCTCTTTAGGTTTTGAAGGAGTCAGAGGACTATCTTGTCTGGCTTCTTCCAGGCTCTCAAAAACCATCTGCTGCTCGAATCGTTCTGACATGAGAAGCTCATTTTCCGCCTTTAAACTCTCCAACTCTTCCAGGAACATCTTCTCGAGTTCCAGATCCAGAGTAGATAGTCTTCCATCAATGCTCGCCTCAGCAAGGTTATCATCAACCGAAGGTTCCCTTAGAAGCTCCTCCTTCTCCTGTTGCATCCTGACGCACTCCTCTTCGTACTCACTGACTGTTTTTAGATACAACCTGTGGGCCTCCTCCTCTTGTACCAAATGCTCCTGCACCCGAGCCTCCGTGTCTTTAATTTCGGCCAGCTCCTTCTTCAGTCGTTCTCGCTCTCTTTCAAGAGTAGACAACAGGTCTTCGTTTTCAGACTCGGAAGAACTCTGATCGGATTCTTGTTCCTGGCAAAGGGTTGAAATTAACGTGATCAGTTTGTGTTTGTCTTCGAGATCAACACCCAATGTTTTGCTTCAAATGTGGCAGCGTTCGAGTGTAATGTACATTAAGTTTGGATTGTACAGACATACTTTATTCATCTCATTTTGCAGGCCTTTCTTTTACACGTGTATTCTAATCTTTATTCTAATATAATGTGTTTTACCTGTTTCCCGCGTCTAGAATCGATTTCTTCTGGAGATTGTGATTGCTGCTGTTCAGATGCTTTCTTCGCTCTATCCACTACCTCAGGACTCGGTACATTTGTCAGTCGAAGGTTTTCCTTGACAGCAGCACTGTCTCTAACATTCGGCTTATTCGGACTGTAGAGTAACGATCGCTCTTCCTTTGTGATCAATGGTTCGTTTACTAACTCGGGGTAATCATGGTCACTGAAAAATAAAATCAGTGTATATGTAAACAGTTTTGTGGTGTCCAAATATATTTACTTAATTATTTTGAGAGCCAATTCTTCGTTGGTTTGCGTTAAAATAGAATGTCAAGTCTGTATTTGTGTGGTTTAATAGAAGTCGGTTTGTGGTTTAGTAAGAAATAAGGAATATATCACCAAGCAATAGGTGTCCTGGGATACCTGTTTTCGTGTGATTTTTCATCTGTGTCATCATGACCTTTGACCTCTCTCACGTCTCGTCCAAGATGTCCTTGCACCATCAACTTCTGCCTCGCTTTCATCATCAGGGCAAGCGCTTGCAGTTTGGTGACGATGTCCCGCTGAACTCGTCTGATCTCCCCTGGAACTGTTAAATACCAAAAAAAAAAAAAAAAACACCAGAATATGAAATCTTGCATCTTCTTGGCGCAAAGTTAATTTAAAAGGCACATTGACTGTGAAGAATGGAATAAATACCCGATCGAAGTTGCTCATCGAAGGTGAGAACAGTGTTCATCCTTGTTTCCTCAGGATCTTCAAATCCTTCTACATCTCCGTCCTGGACGTCTTGGAATCCCGACACACCTCCTTCCATACCTCCGAGTATCAGTCTAGAGAACGCCGAGCCCTTCACCGTCACCAGCAAGTCAATCAACTCCTCCAACTCCCTCGTCCTTCTATCTCCCGATCCATCTCGTTCATCTTCGCCGACCGGGTAATCACGCTTCATTACCGGGTCGGTTGTCGTCCACGCATCGGTATATACACCGGGCATCCGTGCCGCCTGGTCCGGCGGGTGCAGTACGCGCAGTGCCTGCCGCTTGATGACTGTGTGGAATTTCTCGGACACTCGCTCAAGTTCCAGTTTCAGCCGTTGGGTGTCGGCTCGGAGAGCTGCCTTGTCGTTTGATAGCGTCTGGTTAGGGGACGGAATTATAATGCATGTGTTATCATTTTAAATACTCCAGATAACTTATCTGTTTAAGTATAGGACAAATGCATTATATGCACCCCATATCTGGATGCCAGCCTTTCCCTATCCCGTACCTCGATCACATCCACCATTTCCTCTTTTTCCATCTCCAAGGTCTCAATCTTTTCCTCGAGTCGCTCCCTCTCCTCCGTCTGTGCTCCGCACAGCTCCGCTAACAGCGTCGCACTGTCCACCTTAAAGCGAACAAAATACGAAAATAATTCAATGGTTAAAAATGAAGGTTTGGAATTTTTAATGAGAATCACACAGAAAAGGGCATGCTTAAACTGATTGTACTTTCTCTTGTGGTATAATGTTATTATTATTATTAATCATTTCTGGTAATGAAATCAAGGATTCTCAAAAGCGCCCTAGGCACTGTAGCTCGCAAGCCTGAAGAAACCTGTAGAGAGAAGACAATGAGAAGAAGTTACAGTTTTAGAGGTGGGAGGAAAAGCCCAGAGGAATATTCTGGGGAAAACCCACGGAATCAAGTAGGGACTGAAAACCCAATTCACATATTGACCCAGGCGGGATTCGAACCCGGGTCACAGCGGTGGAAAGCGAGGAAAGTACCGCTACGCCAAATGTGTCTCGATTTAAAAATAAAACCAGTTGAAATCCTGAATTTTTTTTTAGCAAGATTTCAAAATGATAATTTTATTACAGAAATGTTAGCTGAAAGAATTTGCAATACCTCCTCATTGCGCATTCTCTCCTCCATCTCCCTGACAAGTCTCTCGTGATTGGTTGAGATGACCTCCAGGCTCCGCCTCTTTTCCTTCTCTTCAATGAGTTTGACCTGCGCTTCTCTGTGATTGGCCAGATCTCGTCGGAGATTGCCAATCACCTCATCGTTTCGTTTTAACGCCTAAGCGAAGAAATAATGGGCATTGGTGGTATTGTTTTTGGGAATGGGGTCGAAGAACCATTTTTACAGTCATTATGTGTAATATTCTTTTGCTGTTTTTGCAAAAAAGGAAAGTGTGAGGTTTTAGTTTCCTCGTTGTTTACACAAATATTAAATAATTACCTCCGTTTTGTGAGTTTGGTCGTTTATTATCTGTTTTATTTGATAATCTTGCTCTCGGATTTTCTCCCTCGATTCATCTGATTGGTCAAGCGCCTTGGTCAGCTGACCAAGGAACGAATCTCGTTCTTTGCTGAGAATGTTGCGGGATTCCTCGAGAGTTTGGAGATCATGCTGCAAAGACCATATCTTAAAGAAACAAACAAGTATAAGGAAGTACATTATGCGTTTAGTTTTTTTTTTAACATATACGATCTTCAAAGTTATGACTTGTGTTCCCTCAAAACATTGTTCGAAAGGTCTTGGGAAAAATGTCAGCGAATTATTGATAAAATGACACCCAGTAATATTTTGCGACCAGAAATGTTCAAGTTAGGTAAACAGAAAGTTCAGAGAGATCAACAGACCTGTGCCTGAAACTCTGACGTCATCGTCTCAAGCTCTGTCCTCCTGGCATCATTGCTAGCCATCCTCTCCGTGTGCTCTTTACAGACGGTCTCCTGGATCCGAGCATCTTGCTCCAGCGTTTGGAGACGTTTGGATGCCTGTCTCGTATCGATTTCCATCTGTTCTTTTAGGAGGCGTGTTTCTCGGAGCTCGGACTCTGACGTTTGCAGTCTTGATTTCAGTTCAGCTTTCCGGGAAAAGAGGCAATACATTAAATTAGACTTCCAAAGAAAATATAACGAAAGTATGATCTGATCACAGGTTTCTAATAAGATAGTATTAACCGATGTATCCGGACCCGAAATCGGTGAATAGAAGACTGTTAAAAGTCTTGATTTCAGCTCAGCTTGCCAGGAAAAAAAGGCGATACATTAAATTAGACTTCCAAAGAAATAGAACCAAAGTATGATCTGCTCACAGGTTTCTAATAAGATAGTATTAACCGATGTATCCGGACCCCGGAATCAGTGATTAGAAAACTGTTAAAACTGTATTAATTTTGACTAGAAAACAGCAAAGGGTGTGACCGTGAATCGGTCAAATCAAATAACTGGAAATTCTGCAATGAGTGGTAATCACGTGAGAAGCTGAATATATCGGTGAGTGTTTTTGAAGTGACTGGATCTCCACTGATTCCTCAAGAGCAAAAGAAATCGAATGCACAAAAGGGGCTAAGAATAATTGTGTTTATACCCGTCAACTCATCCAAGTTCATCTTGGCTTGCTGGCTGGCCGACTTGTCATTCACCTCAGCACGCAGCAGGTTGTTATCAAGATGTAACGCGGACACTGTGTCCTCAAGACGAGCAACTTTGTTGCTGAGATCGTATTTGTCTTTCAAGAGCTGATTCAAGTTTCTGTCGAGAGAACACAAGACCAAAATGGTTTGCGTGTTTGGAAAATGCAAATGTCAGAACAAAAATGTACACAGAAAATTTGGAAACTGTAATTTTGTGTTCGGTTGGTTGTGACTGCCACCAGAGGCTATTCAACTATGAGCACGGACAGATAGCTATCTCGTATGGGCCTTATTCACGAGTCAGCCTTATTGGATTGAGAGTGAGGTAAAATCTTCATTTTTGGAACTTGTGTAGAGAAAGGAAAGCAATTACGTTACAAATTAATACCAGTCTGCTCTGATGAATAATTAAACATTTGTGATCAAACGTACTCTAAGCCATATTTAAAAAAAAGAAACGAAAGTGAGACTATAGTGAATAAAATTGTCTGGCACCATCCCATTTAATTCAACAGTTCATAATTTATGAAACACATTCAGGGAACACGACAAAAATAGCCAACTTGTACATATTGGAGCATTGGCAAACACTCCTGACTCGACTAGAGATTATTGTCATTATACTGGTTGTTGTTGCTTGTATGTTTGTTTGTTTGTTTGTTTGTTTGTTTTCATGGGGTGTTTGTTGGTTTATTGTTGTTATTGTTGTTTGCTTCGCTTCTGTTGTTGTTGTTGCTGTCGTCGTCGTCGTCGTCGTTGTTGTTTTGTTTTTATGTGTTGTAATTGCAGTAGTAGTAGTAGTAATAATAGTTGTTAAATTTGTTGCTGTTTTTGTTGTAGTAGTAGTTGTTGTTGTTGATGATGTTGTTGTTGTTGTTGTTGTTTTACATACGTGGATATTGTTGTCTCAAAGGTCTGTCTCTCCACCCTGCAATCTCCTAGGGCATCCTCCAGCGCCCTCACTCGTTGTTGAAGGGCTGTGTTGAGACCACGGAGCTCCTGAGGAGGAACAAACGAAAATCAATATGAGAAAATCTGTCTACAATTCACAGATAAAATGAATGCGTAGGCCTACACTTTTCATCAGTCATCTGCTTTGTAACTTTATAAGCAGCGTTAAATTCTCTCACCTCGATCTCAAAGTTCTTAGAATTTTTCCCGGAGATTGCCTCATTCTCTTCCAGCATCTTGACTGTCGCTTCTCGCTTCCACCAGAGAAAGAGGATGACGCAGTGCAGAAACAGCGAGGGATCGAGGTTGACGGGCGGTCCACCCTCCTTCTCAACCTGCTCGAAGATGTGCCTGAGTGCCTTCTTGTTCTGTGGAATGGAAAGAGTGTGGGGATGGGGAACGAGGATGGTTGTTATGGTAATGGTGACGTGTTGGATGAATGGCGATAATGGGGATGAAGATGATAGGGAAATATTCATTACTTTTTCCAAAATAACATATCTCAAAGTAGCATTCCCTTTTCTAATTGGTGTTTCCTTTCTGGTGTATTTGTTTTTATTTTATGTGTAAACTTATCCGTCCTGTTTATCTTTGCATGATAATGCATATGCAAAACAGTCACATGATACGCAATGCCGCATCAACCAACCTGTTGAGTGTCGAGTTTGATCGCCGGCCACTCCCCTTGGTCTGGTAACCTGACGTATTTCATCCATCCTGCGTGGTGGACCTCATGCTTTTTCGACTCCTCTTGAATCTTCCTAAGTTCGATAGTCAGGTCACTGACTCTCTCTGTCTGCTGTTTGTTGGTCTCCCTCTCGCGTTGTAGTTTCCTCCGTAGGTCTTTTTCTCTGGCCTTTAAATATTAGGGGAAATGGGGAAGTAATAATATTGTAAATGGTTTCAGTTTAATATGTCGGACCCTGTAGTGTATCTGATGTTAAGATTACTGATTAAACTAGGATGAGAAATAAAAAGGAAAGTGACCACAAAAAATCAACAAAGTTGATTGAATCTTCTACTGTTTGCACCTTGAGTTTGCCGTTCTCGTTGCCAAGAAGCCCTTCTATCGATGACAGCTTGAAGGCGCCCTCCTGTCTGCAGGTGTCCAACCTCCCCTCCAAGTATTGCACTTGCTCTTCCAGTAGTTTTATCTACAAACAGAAATGGGTTCGAGTGCTCGGTGAAAGATTCATTGATGTGAACACGTTTTTCGAACTTGTATCTTAAGATAAATATGTATATATACACAAATAAAGTAAAAGAAATATAAGTAGTCAAAAAGATCAAATGATATTTCATGATCTCTTGTATCTCTTCTATCTTGTAAATTTCTTATACGTTGACAGATCTCAGTATTGCTGGTCCCAAAGGGCCAGCTTAGTGTCCTCTTTGCATCTTTCTTGCTGACTGACTGACTCAGCGACTGTACTTGAAAACCGGGCAGTGCTACTGTATAGGATTACCCCGTAACGTCTATGGATGGGCTAAATCTAGTCCATTGTGTGGACGAGATTTATGAAAAGACTTTCAGTGAACAGCAATTATGAATCCATTGAAAGGGCCCATGACATGAATTTTACTTGGGAAGATATTTTGTGAAACTTTCTACTCCTCTTAAATGTATGAAAACAATTTGAAGTCCCTCATTGGTTAATGTCATTGAAAAGTGCACTTTTTAAAAACATTAAATGTTTCCCATGCTTTTTCTGACAAATTAGGGCGCTGTTGCTGTGATGTCTCTTCAGGAAGACACTGTTCAGTTTTTCGGTTTTCTGTTCACATTGTGAACCTAGAATTTGCTCATTGCAAACTTTTTGTGAGATATCTTTGGTCAGTGGCCTACTGTCGTGTACTGAAACCAAAACATAGCACCACAGAAAAGAAAACTAACGAAATTCTGGCAAATTTTGGTGTTGAAATAGCTGTAGCATTGATGTTTCTGCCTGAAATGACATCACACCTTTGCTCATGAATATGCAAATTCACATTAGTATAAAAACCAATAAGGCGCCACAATCCCCCTAAAAATGGTAAAATGGTGAAATTTTAAGACCCAAAACAATTGGAATGATTTGCTTCTTCACCTTCCTCGCTAGTTCTCTGGGCCGTCTACCATCCTCTTTCTCCCCCTCCATCGTCTTCAGTTTATTCCGGAGGTTGTTCATCTCGAGGTTCATCTCCTTCCTGCGTTCCACCTCAAGATGCAGCTGGGCCCGCGTCTTGCCTAGGATGGAATTGACTGAGTCTGCTTCAGGATTCCCAACCTGGCCAGATTCAGATGGCACAAAGAAAAGGAATGTTCACCCATGATCTTTTGTTCAATTATAATCTCTCAAACAGTCTTAAATACTGGGCAATAATTAGCCTTTTTAAAATAAACTGATGGACACAAACGAAGGGAGACTGACAGACTGCTTGTTGGAGTATATAGGTAGATTTTGGTAAATGCAACAAAGAACGCGCGCTTTTATTTTGTCCTCCAAAAAAGGATTATAGTTTTCCCTTCGAAGAGGTGGCCCTTGGTTGCCCTCGACAGATGTTTCTTTGTGCTTAATCTAGAGAATCGCATTTTATGTCCTCAAATTAACGATTGTGCATGTTCTTTCAGCGCCACCACACATTTTAGTTCCGTTTAGAACAAGCTCTAAACTTACCATAATATGCTAGCTGTGGGAACGGTCATTCCCCTTTCTTAAGCAGCGCCCCCTTTTTTGTGGGGGGATGTTTCACAGTTTGAAACTGCAGAAAAATCTGTACTTGGAAATTTCGATCAAGTTTCTGATAATTTTGTAGCCTACCTACAACGTTAGTGACGCGAAAACACAATAGCATTAACTGTTATTTCGGTTGTGTAAAAATCAAACGGTTGTGTACTATATGAACCTAGCAACCTGTTGTGTATGTTGTTTACACAACTTGTGTAAAATATTACACAACTTGTTCAGTTTTTTTTACACAACAGGTTGCTAGGTTCATATAGTACACAACCGAAATAACAGTGTTGTATAATGTTGAGATTTTTGAAAGGTTAAGTTGGCGATAAAATCGAACACAAGAAAAACACGTCATTAAATCCAGGCGCTGCTTTTCAGTCGTTGCAGCGTTTTTGTCCACCTCGTGAAAAGAACGGGATCTCCTTTCAAATCGTGCCCTTTAGGAGCACGCGAGGCTTTTATCGTTCAGCATCCGGGGGTAAAAATAACCATGAGCGTACGCTTATGAAAGAAACCGTGACAACTTTAACAAGCTCGTATTTTTCTATTGACATAAGAATGGCAAATGGAATTGAAACACTCCTAACCTTTATAAAATATCCAATATGACAGATGGCTATGGATAACAATAAAGTCCTGCTTATGGCTTGGAAATGGGGTTTGCGCAACTCGATGTGTCAAAGAGTGTATATCAATAGAAGCAGGAGTACAAACAGAAAATTGTGGACTATAGTGTTGTTTTTTGTTTTGCTAGCTTACTTTGTTATAATATTATTACCAGCCTAATATTTTAACAGTCAATTTAAAATAAACTTTAAAAACTATATGCTGGCACGGTACTAACTACGCATCAGGCCTCCCAATTGACCTGTAATTCTTTGCTGCCCTATTTTGTGTGTGTCATCAATCTTTACAATTTGTATTTTTTTTGTTCCATAATCGTCATTGCTATTTTTCTCCCTAAAGGCCTTCATTGTATACATTAACTTGACCCGACATATCTAGTATTCTTTTGTTAGGCCCAATCATCATTTATGCTATCAGTTCTTCATCATTGACATGTACTGTTCCCTAACCGTGTAGGCCTATTCAGCTGTTTTTCTGCCGGGGCTTTGTGGCCGTTCCTCCCCACGACAGTAAGCTATCTCCACGGTAAATCATTTCACGGTAATATGATGGTTCAATGGTTGCAGTGTGTACGCCACCCGCTGTTGCACGGCCTTGTAATTAATCTGATACGCCGTTGCTGGGCAACCGCATTAAAGTTTGATGGCGGTCTCGTTGCCCGTAGCAACAGGTCCACGCTAATGGCGGCTAAGATCAATATGGCGCAATTTAACCTCACATCAGTATTTAAAAAGGTAAATTTACAAAAACCTAATATTCCTCTGCGTCATACAGCCAAAGCTCATAGTCATAGTGATTTTCAAAATTTTATTTGGCAATTAATTAGAAAATCCTATGCAGTCCTAAGTTGAGAATGAGATAAGTAGTGGCTGATTACATTTCTTGTGCAGTGTTTTATGATATTTGAACAGATGCCTTATTCCTTATTCATGCTGATTGTCTTGGCCAGAATGAGTTTAAACGGAAGAAGCATTTTACGAACGCTCAGGCAAAGAGCCGTCTAAAACTCCTCACTTTTTTCCTTCTCGTTAATATCACAAAACGGCACCGAATGCCGAACAACGAAATGAAATCCAAAAGTCATTAAACAGGATTTCATGACCGGCTTTCTATTCGGTATGCCTTCCCCTATGAAGGGGGACATGAATACGAATATTACTTGAACTTATCAATAATATAGTAGTGTTGTTTTCATCCACAATTATGCAAATTCGGACTTATTTTGTATTCCATTGTTTAAAATCGATAAATATTTGGATTCACAAATTACTCTTGATAAAATAATGACTCATCATACGTCAAATACTTCTAAGCATCCATTAGGAATATTACTGAGTGCTGCTAATGGACATTACAGAGATTTTCTTTGGCATATTATTCTTTTGAAAGGCATGAATGCTATAATCATAATCGGTAAAAAATATATATTTTCTTCTTTTCCCTTTCTATTTTGTTTTGTTTTTACTTTTTGGTTCATAAGATGGAATTAGCGTCAGGGTGATATAAATCAATATTAGGTTTTGCCCTTCACCGACGATAAACACAATATACTCAGTGTGTTACCTCCCGAGTGAAAGTTGCACAAAAAGAAAGTGATTTAATTGCTTTAAACAAATAAAAAATAATGTCCCAAACATAATTCTTAATAGGCCTAAAAAAATAATATCATCTTATTTCCAGTCTGTATCAATTATTATCCAAGAATCCTGGTCATTATAGGGTAACTGGCCGTCATGTCTAAATAAGCAATAATTCATTTCGAATATTTACTTTTTAGAAAATTTAATCATTTAATAGACGTTTTCGTTCGCCAACTTTCTGGTAGTGTCTGGTTGTGCTCTTCTTCCGATAAACATGTAATTTTTTTGTCCATCAATTGTTTATTACTCATAACGTTTCTAAGACAATACCAGATGAGAAAAGTCATTGTTACTAACAAAATAGAGATGGGCGGAGTAACATGATTTCCATTTAGAAAACCAGGCCTCTGGGGGAGTAGCAAAATATATTTTACGGGGACAATACCAACAAAATGTGCAACACACAGGATTTTCAATATGAAACAAGGAACAAATCGCGCTGGCACTCAAACATCAGTGAAATATTGTTTTACAAGTACTAACAAAACATAGCCAACTCTTCATAACTTCAAATTAGGTTTTGCCCTTCACCGACGTATAAACAACTTCGTGCAAAGAGCAATATCCACTGTCTCTTACCTCCATGTCTCTTCCATTAAACTCCTCTTCCTTTCCAACAAACAAAATGGGGTTGTTAGTCCTTTTCCCTACACGACAGAGCTAGTATTCAGCCACCGCCACGGTCGACTATTTATAGCATACGTCATGGTTTGTTGCGCTTACAATGATTCCAGTAGGCGCTCACTCGAGCTCGGCCCATCAGCCTCCGGCGCAATAACACCTTGGCAGTAACCTTGGCTGGTTGTATACCGCACACGGTGTATGCTATTGTCTGCCAATGTCGTTGCGACGTATCTCAGTTTGTTGTTTTTTAATTGATGGTCGTGCATTGTTCATCGTTGCTTCGATAATGGTGGCGCAGATCAATTTTGATATTTGGTATAAGTCTGGGGGCGTATCCAACTTGGCTCAAGGGGGGGGGGGTTAGCTGTCAGGGGAGGGGGTAGCAGGCAAGTTCTTTTTTTCTATAATATTCTTGAATTAGATACACTTTCTGGTGATTAAAAAAATTAAGAAGACACTGAAGAATGCATATAATTATGAATGCATGGACACAGTCATGAGGCATACGATGCACGAGACATCAAATATTTTGAAGGGCCCGTGACATGGATTTTTCTTGGGAACAATTTAATGCAACTTACTACTCCTCTGAAATGTATGAAAACTATTCGACATTTCTTTTTGGTTAATTTGATTGAAATGTGTACTTTTTTAAACATTTAAAAAACATTTTGCTTTTCCTGACAACTGAGGCGCTGTTGCTGTGATTTCATTTCAGGAAGACACAGTTCAGTTTAGGGATTTTCTGTTCAAATTGCGAACCCAAAATTTGCTCATTGAAAACATTTGTGAGAAAACTTCGCTCACTGGCTTACTGCCATGTACTGCAACATGAACGAATCACCAAAGAAAAGAAAATTTACGACATCCAAATATCAACAATACTTGCAAATTTTGGTGCTGAAATAGCTGTAACATTAAGGTTTCTGCCTGAAATGACATCACACTTTTGTTTATGAATATGGAAATTTGCATTAGCATAGTACCCCAAAAAACACCAAAATACCCTTAGTTGTGGCAAATAAAATTGGCAATAAAATTAATTGGAATACAAAGGTGCATTTTCAAGGATTGCATTAACAAAATCATTACATGGGCCCTTTAATACATGCGGCTAGGGGTGACCCACAATCCATTGCGTTACCAAGGCAGGATTCTGTTATATAGGAATTAGCCTGTACTAGGGGACCAGTTCAATTAAACCGTGCCAGGCAGAAAATAGTGCAGCAAGGTTCTCATGAGGACCAGTCATATCCAGTATACATAAGCACGTGACTTTTGTCTGGTAACCTGTTTCTGCGTAGCAAATACAGTACTGCTGTAATAGCAAAATGTTGGCATTTTCATGAAACTGGCCTCAAGATGTCAAGGTTGATTCTGCGCGGCTCTGCTTTGGTCCTTATTCGCTCGTACCCCTCGCCCTGCAAACAGGGCGCTGGTAAGGGCTGATGAGCTTCACAGAATCTTGTGAAGGAAGTACAGATTGACCTTCGCATGCAGCTAGCGCGCTACGCCAGCCTCGTCCCCAGTGCTTACTTTATTTCCAACCTGGTTTCCAATAGTAAGCCCTGGATAGGAAACTTTCTTCCTGTATTCTGTAATTTCGATGCCGCAATTTGCTAGTAATGGATTTATATCGTGTAGTTGGTGGTGTTAATTTCCAACGTGCATTACGTGTTTTCACGATCAGTGTAATATAACGTCCACGCCTTTTCAAAAATACTCATTTCCTTTCCAGTTTGCTCATATTAATATGAAATGTGATGCTGCACATATTGGCGGGCCAGATTGTAACATCTTAACTTCATAAAAATCGTGATTTCATAACTCACGGCGCGACGAATTGATGCTGTTTTTACCCCAGACACCGCATACAAAAACAAACGCTAATGTAACGCACATACAGGTACCAGACTTCTCCTCATTTGCATACGTGTTCAAAAATCTTGCACATGCAAATGATCCAATACCAGGGTGAGAGAGCAGGTACTGGTGGGCGCGTACTGCTCGACACCCTGGGGACGAGGTTGGCGCTACGCAAGATGGGCACCGGAAGCTAGTTTGTGTGACGCATTCTACGTCACAGGTCACGCAAATCTATCCAATGAGAGCTCAAATGATGTCAGCCCTTACCAGCGTCCTGTTTGCAGGGCGGCGGGTACGAGCGAATGGTCCTTATACAACAGCGCCCCCAACATTGAATTTCGGACAGATTGACAGGAAAATTGGCTTGTATACTAAAGAGTGACTCAAGGGAAAACTGGGGCCTTTTTTTCATCTTTTGGAAGTTTCAGATTTTTTTTACTGAGATGTAGATAAATCGCAAGGGAAAGAGGCATGTCGTATCTGCCGAAAGTACGAATGCCACATTGTTAAGTGTTGTGTAGAGTATCCCAATCTCCCTGCCATGAAAATCATTGGCCGTTCTAATTCCAGAGGGATTTATTTTGAAATTTGGATTTGCACACTCGCATGTCCAGAAACCTTGTCCTCCTTAATGTCAACAATCAATCATATTGACTAATATTTCAGAAAATGCCGGGGAAATCTTAGTTTTGACCATTTAAGCCCTTGTTAAAGACAGACACAAATGAGGGATAAAATACAAGCGTCTTTTTTTTTCAACTGTTGACCAATCAAATTTACCGTTTATTATATCATTTATTACAAAAAAGTTTCACCATGCATTCGTTTAATATTGTACTGAAGAGCGTCTACTCCTCTTTCTCGAAAAAGCAAATTGCAGCAATCGTAGCCGTCACATTGCAATAAATAATTCAAACGATTTAAGCCTTCCTAACTAATAAAATTTAGCCAGCCCAGTTTTTTTTTCTTTCCAGCGTTTTGACCAGCAAGACAATGAATGATCAAAAATTAAAGGTATGAAAATAGCGTTCAGGAAAACGGTTAATATACGCTGATGTTTATCATAAATTATTTTTGACAAACTAACTGAACGTCATTATGATGTGCAAAGTCCCAGTATGAAATTAAATAGGAGAGAGTATTCTATGAAGAGAATTACAGTCTTTAAAAACAAAAACCACAGATCGGAAAAACATGCTCGTCGTTCTGATACTTTTTAACAGCAATCTTAATAGCATACATGCTTAATTCTCTGCATAGCCTATTTTTCCCTAAAATTTTGCATTTGATCTAAACTACTTTCTATATTATTTCAGGATTGTTTCGTTGGAGGCTGAATCGCCCGTTTGATATCAAGCTGCCGCGTAACATTGCGAACAGCATCTTCAATGTATGTACAAATAAAAGTTTGACACAATAAGTTTTTACAATAACTTCACAAATATTTTACACACATTGTTTCAATGAATAAAATCTTTAAAACCAATAACAATAAAACAGTAATATAAAACCCAAGTTCAATAATTTCCCACTCAAAATATGGAACAATTTTTCTGTATAGATTGCCTTTATAAAAAGTTGATCTTGATAGAGGGCGTGCTCTCCGAACAAGTAATGAGAAATAAAAATAATGGGTTAAGGCTTCGTCCCTACATTCATAATAACAAGTTCTCTTTTGGGAAATGCTGCATGTAAATAGAAGAAAATGTGGACAGTGATTTGCTCGACTTCTTAAGCGTCATTACTAAATACCAGAGTTCCAGGGACCAGGTCACGGCGCATGCGCAAAGGGAAATAATGACTCTGCATTCATCGTTCTAAAAATATAACCATATAGGGGTCAATTAAATCAATGCAGTCGTTTCACTCGCTGTAATTTGAGGAAATTGGATTTAGGTACTATCCCGTTCCAGTCAAGATTTCGCGATTAGTTTGATCTCTTCAAACCTAACAAATTTTGAGCCAAAATAAGGAGTTGCTTTTCTTCTGATGTATTCGACTAGCAGTCTGTTTTAATTGTTAGTTCTCAAACGGATAAAAGTAGAAACCAGGTGTCTGTAAAGAAATTCTCACCGTTTCGACACCTTTAGAGAAAATTAAATTACCTAAGGAAAAATGGACCTCGTGTGTCATTGACTTGACACTTGTTTTTCACCATCACCAAAAAGACCAATAGTCAAACCTACATTAAGCAGTCGCAATCAATTTGAAATGTGTGCATGTGCCGTGTGGCAACAAAATGGCGGTGTGACTATTGCGGGACATATCAACATACAGACCCTTAAAGATATGGAAAACGAAGCAATCAGTTATTGCTTCTTTTAATAGACAGAGTTTTTTTTTAAGGAGATGTACTTTTATAAAATGTTCAGAAGCGTGCGCCGTATGCGGCTGCCCTTCTCTTCCTGTAGACGAAGTAGCCAATCCCTGCAGCTAGACCAACCGTGGCTATGACTCCCACAGCAATACCGGCTTGCTGACCAGCTGAGGACTTTGCTTCCCTCTTGGCGAGGCCTGGCCCACCGTCGAGGCTGTTGGGAGAGGCAGCGCCGGATGCTCCCCCGGCTTGCACGACATCCGGACTGTCCGCTGCGGCGTTCTCGGCTGCGTTACCTCCTTCCATCTCCCCGGCCTCGTTGTCTGCCGTGTCACCGTCGATCTCGCCACCGCCAATCGAGCCGGCTGCCCCGGTATCCCCATCGTTGGACTCGTTGGACTCTGTTTCCGTGGTGCCACCGGCCCCGGCGTCACCGCCTCCGTAGTCGTAGGACGGGGAGGCTACTTGCTGCCCTGCCACCTGGTTCATCGGGTACGGCCCGGCCGGCCCAGCCATCAACGGTTGCTCCGCCTCGGCTTGCTCCCCGCCCCCCTCAGGCGTGCGAAACTGGAAGAACGTAGGATGCGCCATGGCCAGGGCTGTAATGAAACAAGAATTAAGATATTCAATGATAAGACACTGAATACATATGTATTGAATCCTCTGTCAAAGATAAATTTAATCTTTTCAGACAGAACTGAGGTAGCCTTATGTTCATTGACAATGTAGATTGACAAAGAATTATAAGTAATGTTTAGCAAAATATTGTGTTTGGCGGAGATGCGATATTCGCAAATTGAATTGTGAGGTATCCTCCTGTTCATTTCTGACGTTTTGACATACATAAATAAATAAAACAAAACCGTTTCAATTTTTCTCACGAATAAGAACCACATTTTATTTTGGATAAACTTGGCAAAGTTGGGGTAAACTGCACAAAGTCAATGAATGAAATATAATTGCCAATATTATTTATTGATTTTCTGAAATCCACGCAATTCTGAATCGCCATGACAGTTTGGAGTTTGGGCGGAAAACATGATGAGTGTGCAAGTTATTTTTAAACCTCCAGTTTCTTTAATCCAGCTCAGCTGCTGCTATCATCCGCGCCACTTGGTACCATTGTAAGTATGGAGGCAGCTTGAGCATTAGTCACCCATCCCGTGGTAATTCGACAGATCCGCCGACGGCTATTTTGAGCGATCTTAGGGAAATTGCGGACGGCGGAAAATGGGTGCAAGTCTACTTTAACTCTCCAGGGCAGGAGAAAATGGATGTAAAGGGGGGCGAGCTCACGTAAAACTCCGTGTTTCACGGCTTTTGCAAGGACAAGTATCATTTTCGAAATATTGTCTCATTTCTAGTTCAGTCATGTGCATGTTCAAAACCACGTGATCAAAACTATAGCTGGCCATTATACTGCCACCAAGAGGCTAAAGTCAACCATTCAAACGTTGTCGTAATTGTGCATGCAAAACTGGGGGAAAAACCCTATTCGATAGAATGATTTGATAAAATGGCGTTATACTGGACTGACAAAATCATTCACCATTCTCCAGAAAGAAAATGACAAAGGTGCTGACGAAATGTCTGTCAGAGCATTGCCTTTTATCGTAAGTGCATTGGCGAGTTTTCTTCATTTACTTATTGGCATAGGGATTGATCTGAATCACACATATCACTTTAGATTACATATTTTTTTGGGGTATTCCAGCTAATACTTCCAGCACTTATTAAAGTTGTAAAGTTATCAGCATGGTGCTAACTGGCTCTAAACGACTAACTTCCGTCTGTGAACTTTGCCCTATTGGGTGAGTCATTTCACTTTCAATTATGCGGAAAGGGTGTGTCGAAATATCGAAATATTAGACGAAGAAATTATAATAATCAAAACAAATCTACAAAAAATGCTCAACGAGATCTGTAAAGAAAAAAAAACTGACCAAGGGTGTAAGTAAGGTCCAATTGGAAGAGCATGGCAGTTTGAGGTCAGCATTGTCAAGAGGGACTGAAAGGCCAAGGGTTTATAATACAATTTGAAAAAGAGAAAAAGAGGGGGTTTCTTTTATCAAAATTCTATAAAAGGATTTGGGTTAGGGGCGTGGGCCTCGTTGAGTAGAGGGGTGTCCCTTTGCCACGCCCTAGGTGATCACATGGAGATATGAATGAGGTAGTTTATACCACGAAATAAAGTTCAGAAACTTCAAGATATGTGCTGTCAATTCCTTTAAAATATTTTTACGTCGCATAGCCTAAGTGATCAAAAGAAATGATGCCACAATCAGAAACATTGAGAACCGGTATGGTTTGCATGATTATTTCTGGCAATTTTTTTTCACGGCGTCCGTAGAGGACAGAATACGGTAAAAGGATAACACTCATTGTGTTAGCCTCCTTTTTAGCTATATGCGTTATTGGCAATGCTTAGTAGAGCCAAGCGAAACCGCTGCAGGGTGTTCCAGTGTATTGAATTAAGACCGTAATGGCGATCGAGGAACATCGAATTACGGAGAGAACATCGAATTATAAGATCTTAAAATTGTTCAAAATTAACCAAAGGAATAGAAGGTATCTTACCGGCACAGCTAAGGAACAGAACGGTCCTGATCGAAAACATCTTGATGAGGTTGTGGAGATACGCGAAGACGCTCGAGTTAGACCTGTACAACTTTGGTGGCAAGCAGCCCAAGTTGTTGTCCTGTTGTGAGGTAGCGTACCAATGATTCCTCACCCCTCCTTCCCTTCCTATTTTTATAAGCCCCCTCCCCGTTGGCCTCCACGGTGGCCACGTTCTGATTACTCACCCAACGACCCCCGCAAACGTGACCAGTTACCGGCTGGTACCGACGCTGGTACAAAGTCTAGCTCACGGACGGGGAACACGTCAGCCATCTTTCCTCTTGACGTCACAACCTCCCCGTCCCGGCTGCCTCCTAAAAATAGCCCAGTAACCCCCCTCCCCTTTCTCACTATACACCGCAAGGGTACGGGATTTGAAGGGATAATTCGAGTCTCTGGAACGGACGTTACTTATTTCTCTTTCTGCTAATCGTAATTTTTCATGAGAGAGTTTGGGATTATTGGGAAGGGCAGAGGCAAATTTGATGATATCACGGGACGGAATCGTGATCAAGACGTGAACGTACCACTCGGTAACAGTTTGGAAAAGCAACAGTAGTAGGCTATGTCAGTCACTACGACTGTTTCCCTTTTCGTATAATATTCAATAAAACTTTTAAAGGGCCCATGTAATGTATGCGTAATTTTTTAATGCAGTCCTTGAAAATGCACCTTTGTATCTCATTAAACCTTATTTTAAACTTTTACTTTGCCATTTTTTAAGGGCATATTGGTGCCTTTTTGGTTTTATGCTAATGCAAATTTCCATATTCATGAGCAAAAGTGTGATGTCTTTTCAGGCAGAAACCTCAATGTTACAAAATTTGCCAGAATGTTTTATATTTTGCTGTCGTAACTTTTAGTTGGTGATTCGTTGTTGTTTTGGTACATGACAGTAAGCCAATGAGCAAAGTTTTCTCACAAATGTTTTCAATGAGCAACTCTTGGGAACATAATTTGAACAGAAAACCCTTAAAGTTAACAGTGTCTTCCTGAAATGACATCACAGCAACAGCACCCTAATTTGTCAAGAAAGCATGGGCATTTTAATGTTTAAAAAAGTGCACTTGTCAATAAAATTAACCTAAAAGGGGTGTCAAATAGATATCGCACATTTAAGAGGAGTAGAAAGTTGCACAACATATGTTTCCAAGTAAGATTCATGTCATGGGCCCTTTAGCATTCCATTTACTCATTAGTGCCTCTTATTTCCAGAAACAAGCTGTAATGTTATGCCATTTTGTGTTATTTAATCAAATGCTTGAAACATTACAAATTGGCAGGAAGGATGTTTTATTATTAAACCTCCAAAATACATGCATTGATGTAATGTGCAAATCAGATTATCGTGTGATATACATCTGGATTCTTAAGGTCACTACTTACAACCGAGGTAATTATTCAGTTTCCTCCAGAATTGATATCTGAAAGTTTTTATTCTTCAGAACCTTCCCCTTGGTACCCAATTTTGCGTAGTCTTTAAGGTCACTGGTGATCAGACAGCGGAACCTAAAAGTCAAAGTTCGCAGTCGGCTGTGGGCACAGTTTACGTCACAACCCTGCTCCTAAGATGATACGACGGGACAAAATCTTTCATCATACGCCTTGATCCGAGAAACTAGTTTTAATAAGTTACATGTGTTTCACTTCCACTGTCAAGGCTTTGGCAGTGGGGGTTGGGTGCAGTCCACCCAGTCCCTTTCCTTTGGGTGACTGCCCTGTCGGAACAGACAATTTCCCTTGTCCGATTTTAAAAGTCATGGATTTAATTTCTTAGTTGTCGATCTGGATGTCCCATAGTGCTCTCTGAGCTGTGTGTGATACTAGACATCATAGGGCCAGTGTTGACAACTTTCCAGACATTTTTGTTTTCACTGTTGTATTTTTTTGTTTGGCAAGTTTTCAGTGATTATCTTTTTTAACAAATCACGAAAACATGCCAGGTTGGTAACATATCTATGTTAATTAGCTTTCTGTTGGTACTTCAGTGAGTGTGTTGTCAAGAAACTATGCCATTTTTCGTTTTTTTTCTAGGATGCGGCAATACTTTATTGGGGGAAAGGTTCCGGAAACTGGCCCATCGTTAAAATCCCCGACGCGCACGTTTTACTTGTCCTCTCGTTGTGTCTGTGTTCGCTCTTTAGGGATTAGTGATGCCTAACGTCCAAGGTTGAAACCAATGACGATGTGCTTAAGGGCACAAGGTTGCAAATATACACCTCCGTTCTATATTTGGATTAGTAATAAAAGGGAAAAGATAACCCTCTTGCTTTTTTTTGTGTCTCATCTTGAATCTTCTTTAATCTGAAAAGAAAGGTCGACAAATTTTAATTACGAAATTATCATTCTTTGTTTTCCTTTGTTTCCTCTCAAAATGTGTTTCTATAATTTAACGACCTATTAATAATATTTCGATCATTTCTCAACGTAAATGGTCATTTCCTTCAGCTGTTCAAAGTGCTAATTCCACCAGTCACGTTGTGACCTCACGATGTCAATTATTACGCCATTTTTTTTTACACCTTGGCAAGTTCACAATGCGGAAGTGAAGGAATTTGTTACTTTACAAATAATGGCGGTCACGAACTTGTACTTTTTAAGCGGTAAATCCCCCTGGATACAGAACAGGTGAGTCAGACATGGATAATTTAATTCAATTTAATTGGTGTCATTAGTGACAGACGCGACAGCACCATCAACGTTTTAGTCGGAATTCGTGCAATTTCCGGTATATTTTTAAGAGTCATAGTTTGCGGTCAGTGGCGTAAATCTGTGACAGAGATTGGGGGATGGGGGATGACCAATGTCCAAAAATTGCCCGGCCGCCGGGGGGGGGGGGGGGGGGGGGGGGCTGGGCTGGGCTGGGCTGGACACCACATTACACCAGGGGCGCTGTTCATGATACAGATGTACATCGATCTTTATGTACATGTATACTCGCGCTTTATCCAAACTGCGAAATTTCTCTCCGTTTTTAGTGCTACAGTATTGAAAATATTTTGGTTGCTGGGAAGTGGGGAAAATACCTCGAAATCCACTTCTGTTGGTTTCTCACCAAGAAAGGGGGATGATTCACTAGCCCATCCTCCCTAGATACCCCCGGCCCCAACCCCACCCCGGGATTTAGGCCCCTGGTTGCGGTAACCGTTTATACTATCTCAGCTTCTTCTGCCTTAACCTGTTATTATTAAGCACGTTCTTAAATAGTCCAGGGCCTATGACTTCTCTGTCTTCATGTCTTTAAGCAAACGGAATGCCATACGCTGTGCTCCGTGATGTTACCTGGTACGATATGAAGGTGTGTATGGTGAAGATACCAATAACATAAAGATATATGCAACATGTATAACAAATCTCTTTTGTGAGGTTCTTAAATATACTTAACGTTTCAGACAGTATATTCTGTCCGCCATCAGGAGACTGAGGGACTCCAACGGTAAACTTTTATGGTGCTAAATGGCAGAAGTAGAAGCAGTGATACAACTCGTAAACTTTATCTTATTGATGTTACCAAACATGCAGTCGAGAGTTTTGAAATAACGTGCTATTGGCGTTACATGTACATGTTCAATATAGGCCTATCTTGACGTGGTGTTGCTTCTAGTATACTAATCTGGTATAGTACTCCTGAGAATGTACTCGGACTCGCACTCGCAAGAAAAAGTATACGTGTTCGTATTCGTACTCGTAACAATTACTCGTATACTCATGTAAATGTTGTCCCGAATGAATTTATAATTTTTTTGAAGAGGTACCTAAAGGGAAAAGAACCAGTTTTTCTCCTGTTTGAGCGGCCTATTAAATTGTCTTCTATCTATAGGCTGACAAAAAGTACTCATACTCGTATGCGTGAAAACGTACTCGCCATCGTACTTATGGAAAAAATGCCTTGTACTCGTTCGTACTCGTACTCAGGACCAAGTATTCGTACTCGTTCGCGTACTCATGCATAGTACTCGTACTCGTACCCATGGCAAAAGTACCCGTACCCGTACTCATGGAAATGTACTCGACTCATTGAAAACACGGTCTGGACGTAAAACACATTTGTTAAAGTCCTCTTTTATGGTTGCAGTTTGGACCCTAAAAGCGCTCTATTTTGCAATGGAGTGTAGGCATCGTTTTTTCAAAATGGCGATGGGCTTCAAGACTATTTTCAGGGGTGATCATCTTCGGATGGAAATTGCTCCTAAAAGTCATCAGTTGACCTCCCAAAAATTGAAAAGAAAATGAAAGATGATGAAATAAGCTTTAATTTGATGTGTGTCTCGAACACCTTGGAGAGTTGTGAGTATTTTTTCCGAATTTCTGAAGTGGGAGCATTTACCATTGGGGTCTATGGGAATTTATTTACTGGTCTGTAACCTTATATTTCGAACTACTGAAGAGTTTCCAGCCCCAAAAGGCGTGCACTGTTAATGAAGCTATTCAGTTACCGGGTCAGACAGGGTGATGCACCAGACTAAGACTAAGACGTAACCTAGCTTCCTTAATACGTCATTCCTGACCCCCAGATACGTCAGTTGGTACACCCTATATTGTCGGGACGGTTGTCCCGACACCGGAGTGAAAGAGAAGAAAAAGAAGCATTATTGTGTTGATATTATTGTCTGGCATTTTTAAGACTCAGCAGTTACATGAAATATCCGTCGGATAACAATACAGCCCAAACTTTTTAGTCTCGTACTGTAAGAATTTGTTAAATCCCATCTTTGGAGGATGGGTGTTTTGTAATTGGGATGACTTCCTTCACTGTACAGCGTGAGTCAAAAAGAAAGTGACCGAATTAGAAAAACATATAAAAAAAATACGTTTCTTGCTGTTTTTAATAAAAAAAATAACATAGGGATAAAGTACATGTTATTGACAACTGTGAAAATGTCACTTAATTTGCATACTTTATTACCAAGTTATGACTATTTTAATAAAAAGATTACAACATTCAGCTGTCCACCACTGATCATTTACCGTTCCACGAACTGATGAATATTCATTGAAATACAATGAAGCATAAACGTTTTCCAACCTCCACGAATGGACGAAAACTTGCAAAGGAAAACAGACAAAAATCGCCATCAATATTTCAGAAAAAAATTGTACTTGTTCCTCTTGTT